GTTAATTTTTTTTAAATGTGAAGAGGTTAGCAAGATAAGAAAAAGGTGTAGGGGTCCCAAATTGCAGAGGGTACAGGCAGGGCTGAGGGATGCCCCTCCGTGCACGAATCTCCTGCATTGAGCCTCTAGTGTGTGTGTGTGTGTGTGTGTGTGTGTGTGTGTGTGTATATATATATATATATATATATATATATATATATGCCTAAGAGACCTAACCACCGGCCAGTAGCTATGTTGAGCACTGACCAGGAGAGGATAGACGCTCAACTCAGGACGCACACTGACCACCAGGGAAGAGCCGCTCAGCTGACTGACACCAGACCCTGGGCCACAGCTGGCGAGCACCTCCCACCTCTGCAGCAGCCCAGTGGAGCCGGGATGAGTGGGAGTGGCTTCTAGTTTATTGATAAATAAAAACAGCCCTGTCCTAGTTGGGTTTGCTCAGTGGATAGAGCATTGGCCTGGGGACTGAAGGGTCTCTGGTTGGATTCTGGTCAAGAGCATGCCCAGGTTGTGGGCACATCCTCAGTAGGGGGTGTGCAGGAGGCAGCGGATCAATGATTCTCTCTCATCATTGATGTTTCTCTCTTTCCCTCTCTCTTCCTCTCTGAAATCAACAAAAATATGTATTAAAAAACAAACAAAACCCAAGTGTGCAGGGCAGTGTGCTCCGATGTCACTCGGGCCCCACATTCCCCTTGCCCACATCCCACATTCCATTTCCTCTCTTTCACTGTGGCCTTGGTGACTACGTCATGCTTTCCCTTCCTCCCTATGGAACTATCACGAGGCAAGGACCGGTGGTGAGGGAGCTTGTGGGATGGTGAGGGTAGGCTGGGGTCCCCTGAGCTGCTGGCCTCCCACATCTCTGCTGTGGATCGCCCTAGGCCAGAGGCCAGGTGGGGGCACAAGGAAGAGAGAGGGAGGTGGAGGGGGTAGGAAAGACGAGGGGAGGAGGTGGAGAGAGAAAAGTAGAGAAGGGAGAAAGGGAAGGGGGAGAGGTGAGAGTGCGAGGTGCAGGAAGCTGTGGGCCTGCATTGGAGGAGATGGATTTTAGCAGGATTCTGAGCAGGTCGGATCTGGGAAAAATTCCCCGTCCTCCTTCCTGTCTGTATCCAGGGCCACAGCTTGGGCCAGGGCCTGAACCAGGTCGATGGGCCTCCCAGCTCCTTTCCCTTTGTGACCCCTTCAACGCCAGCTCTGATCTCCCCGCCCCGCCACCGCAACCCTCAGCTCCCTCCCATTCCTTGGCTCCAGCTCCCAGGGTGAACATCTGTCCTCCCTGTGCAGGTCCTGGAGGAGGAGGGGACAGGCCAGGTTCTGTCTCACTGGCTCAGCCCTACATTCAGACCACTGCCTTGATTTCTGCTTGTCTGTGGGCCACCTACTATTATTACTTTAAAAAATTTTATTGATTTTTAGAGAGGAAGGGAGAGGGAGAAACATTGATGTGAGAGTGGAACATGGACAGGCTGGCTGCCTCCTGCACACCACCTACTGGGGTTGAGCCCATAACTGGGGCATGTGCCCTGACAGGAATTGAACCAGCAAGCTTTGGTGCATAGAACAATGCCCAATCAACTGAGCCACACTGGCCAGGGCTGGACCACCTATTTTTAACATTTCTTTAAATCAATTCACCTGTTCTGTTTTCTCCTCCTAAGCAATACCTGTGAGAACAATGCTCATGTGGTCATTCTTCCTGAAGTTGTATGTTGTCACCTGCTGCAGGATAGTGGCTGTGTGACTCTAGCTAGACTGGTGATGACACCTAGGACAATCACACCTGCTTTTTCCCTCTCCCCTTTTAATCCTCATCCAAGGAATGATGATTTCCATCAACTTCCAGAAACAATGGAAGGAAAGAGGAGGGAGAGACATCGATGTGACACATTCAACAGTTGCCTCCCGCATACAAATCTGAAACCCAGGAACATGGCATTGACTGGGAATCCAACCTGCTACCCTCTACTGAGCCACACAGGCCACGGCACACCTGCTTTTATTAGGGACTGCTTCTCCTACATACAGTAGGCACTTAATAAGTGGTCCAAAGTCGCAGTGAAAACCTTGCCAGCTGTCTCTGTGATCCTCTGCTTACCAGGTCTCTGATGTGTGGGCCCCTTGGCCTCTTTCAAACCCCTTTACGGGCACTGTATTCTGGGGTCCTCCCATCCACCAGGTGAGCTATAAGCTCCATTTGGTAAATGGAGAAGCTGAGGAAGGGAGCCTGACCTGCCCAGTGTTTTCCAGCTTCTCACCTCATCTCTCTACACCCCTTTAGCTCAGGGCTGGCTGGGCACCATGAAGAGCTATTTAAGGTGAAGTGTTTGGTAGGTGTGTCCCGCTTGGAACACAGGCCACATCAATTGGCTTCTGGGTCAAGTTTAGGCCCCAGCCCAATTGCTCCCCTTCTGGGACCTTTGGCAAGTGCTCCGGCCTGCATTCTGGGCAGGACACCACAGGGTGAATGGCAGGACCAGTGTTCCAGGGCCTGTGTGCCATGTCTATTTTAAGCCTCTGCCCTGCCTACGTATTTGCTCTGTGGCTAATGTCCTCAGGAAGCCACCTGGCTGCACCCACACCCAGGAGTCTTGTGAGCTCCCAGAGTTTCTAGGAACTGCACCCCGCCTGGTTCTGGGGCTCTGGACCCAACTCCCTTTTCCAAGATAGAATCAGCTCCTGCTAGTGAAGAATGCAGCCTACCCCAGCACACACAGCGACTTTGGCTCAGACACCAGAGGCGTGAAAGAGCATCCTTGACCTTGGGCAAATCATGTTCTGGACCTGCAAGTGGGGGGGATGGAGGATGTGAGATGCTCTGGAGAACGGGGGCAGCACCTACTCCGAACAGGCGCACTCCTGGGGAAGGGTGTGCTGTGCTGAGGGAGGCCCATGTCACTGATCTCTCACTGGGGCTGGGTGACTCTGTGGCTAGGCTGCCCCTTTGCCAGTGAGTTTCCAGGAGCCAAGAAGCAATTCTGGAAGATACAGGTACATTTTGGGAGATAAATTTTGAAGATGTTTCTCTTTCTCAAACTCATTACTGTTCTCTTACTAGGTATTGCTGGGTGCAGGAGACCAGGGTTTACAAAGGGCAAGAGCCTGCCCCCCTCAACTATTCAGGAAAAGGGGAGTCAGTATGCCTACCTTGCTTAGCAGCTAAGTTCTCTGCCACGATTCTCCCTAGTACGTACAAATACATTCACCTCTTAAGCAAGTACCTACTTAAATACTATGTATAAGCGAAATAACTGTTTCACAAAGCAAAACTCTAGTATTTTCTTAGTCTGTTTTATTTTTATAAAATACTGGTCATTACCCAAACGTTTTTTTCCAGGACCCCAAAGCAGTCCCTGATCTGACGTGCACAGTCAAAAGAGAGAGAGGCAGACAAAGAGTGAGTGCGCACATGCCCTAACTGGTTTGGCTCAGTGGATAGAGCCACGACCTGTGGACTGAAGGGTCCCAGGTTTGATTCCGGTCAGGGGCATGTACCTTGGTTGAGGCACATCCGGCAGGAGGCAACTGATCGATGTTTCTCTCTATCCCTCTCCCTTCCTTTCTGTAAAAACCAATAAAATATACTTTTTTAAAAATTGAGTGCACAGTCACTAATGGAGCTGAGCGCTGGACGGGAAGGTGACTCCAAATCGACTGAGGGCCGCCACGTCACAGCCGGGGATCCGGCCAGCCTGGGGCAGCCGGGCGAGGCGGCAGGCAGGCCGGTCAGGCGGGTTCTGAGGCCTCGGGGGCGGGTGGTATTATTTTAAGGCACGGGGATCGCAACCCCAGGTTTGGGAGGGGAGCAGGGTTCAATGAGAAGATGCGTTCAGCTCCTTTTATTCAGCGGCTGACGTGCCCAAAGTGCTCTTTACCGCAGCCACCACGGCACCAAGGCCGCGAGAGCCACCCCGGGCCTGCCCTCAGGATAGGGACCTTCTCCGTCTCCCCCCCCACCCAGGGGCCCCAGCCTGCGTCCCGCGGACAGGGACCACCCCAACCTGGCTTCACCCCGCCCCCAGGACAGGGTCCCGGCGTCACCCCCACCCCGGCGTCACCCCCCAGGACAGGGTCCCGGCGTCACCCCCCAGGACAGGGTCCCGGCGTCACCCCCCAGGACAGGGTCCCGGCGTCACCCCCCAGGACAGGGTCCCGGCGTCACCCCCCAGGACAGGGTCCCGGCGTCACCCCCCAGGACAGGGTCCCGGCGTCACCCCCCAGGACAGGGTCCCGGCGTCACCCCCCAGGACAGGGTCCCGGCGTCAACCCCCAGGACAGGGTCCCGGCGTCACCCCCCAGGACAGGGTCCCGGCGTCACCCCCCAGGACAGGGTCCCGGCGTCACCCCCCAGGACAGGGTCCCGGCGTCACCCCCCAGGACAGGGTCCCGGCGTCACCCCCCAGGACAGGGTCCCGGCGTCACCCCCCAGGACAGGGTCCCGGCGTCACCCCCCAGGACAGGGTCCCGGCGTCACCCCCCAGGACAGGGTCCCGGCGTCACCCCCCAGGACAGGGTCCCGGCGTCACCTCCACCCGGGCATCACCTCGCCGCGCACCCCAGCCCGCAACCCCGCCCCGCGCACGCGCGTTCCGCACCCCATTCCCCCGCCCCCGGGTCCCCCGCCGCGCGCCTCGCGCTGCGGCCCAGCCTCGGCCCCCCGCGCGGAGCCCGCCGGGAGCCGCCGCGAAGGGCGGGGAGAGGGAGAAAACCAGCTGGAACTGGCGCGCCGACTGCGCAGGCAAGCGGCGCGGCCATATTTAAAGGGGAGGCCCCGCGCTGAGCCAATGGGCGGCGAGCGTGCGAGGCGGGGCGTGGCGAGGCCCCGGATGTGGCTGTGCGGCCCCTCCTCCCCCGCGCTCCTCCGAGACCCCGGTCGCGCGGCTGCTCGTCCGCCGGTCTCCACACGGGCCCTCGGCGGCAGGGAGGCGGCACGGAGGCAGGGCGGACGGCGAGGCGACCGCACGGAGGCGAGCGGGCCCGGCCGAGCGGCCGTCGCCATGAGCGGTTCCTCGGGCACCCCGTACCTGGGCAGCAAGATCAGCCTCATCTCCAAGGCGCAGATCCGTTACGAGGGCATCCTCTACACCATCGACACCGACAACTCCACCGTGGCGCTCGCCAAAGGTACGGCCGCGGGCGCCCCAACCGCCCGCCCCCGCCCGCCAACAGCCCGCCCCCCCCACCCCGGGGTCCCCGCGGGGTCCCGGCCCGCGTCACCCCTCCGGCCTTCACTCTGAGCCCTTACCCCCGGGGCCGTCTCCCGGGCCGCCCCCACCCTCGGCCATCTTCTCCCGGGCCCTTCTTCCCGGCCTCCCCTCCCCCTCGCAGGGCACACCCCCTGCCCGTCCCCTCCCCGCGGCCCTCCCCCGCCCGCCACCCCCTCCCTTCGCCCCTTCATTCCGCCCCCCGCCCCGCGTGCCGCCTCCCTCCCCGGGCCTCCCCTCGGAGCGGCGCTCGGCCGGCACAAAGGTCTCCCCGCCCGGCGTCATTGTGTGCCGTGGCCGCCCCGCCTGCAGGAGGAGGGGCGGGCCCAGCGCGGTGCCGCCCTCCTGCAGGTGGGGTCGGTAGCCGGGCCGCCGCCTCCCCACCTGGCTGAGGGGCAGCTGCGCCCGCCGCCCGGTCCCGGCGGCAGTGGGGCGAGGGCCAGAGCCCCTCCCTCGGCCCCGGCCCCGGCCTCCCCTGGAGGGGAGAAAACCCGGCTCCTGCGAGCCCTTCTGGAAAGCATTAAGCAGCCGTGGCCTTGAGCCTGAACAAATACGGCTTCTTATCGGAACCTCCTGTCAGCATAGAGCCTTGGCAGCTGGGTGCCCCCTCTAAAGTGCTTGCTGACCCTACCCCAGGCGTGGTCTGTGGGCTTGCCCTGTAGTGACAGATCGCTCCCTGGGAGCGCTGGGAGCCACACTGAGCCTCCGGGACACTTCTGGAAGGAAGGTGGTGGAGGCAGGAGGTGGCCTCAAAGTTTCTTTGTCTACATCCTCCGAGAAAGATGGCGAGTGCAGCCAGGTCTACAGAATCCCCGTTGGTTTGGACTTGGATAGGCCAGCGATACCCCCAAAGGCCTTTCAGCGGGCAGAGCCCCCTCCATGCCAGGGATCCGGGCCTCGGGGCTCACACTCCTTGTAAAGCCTAGTGCTCCAGGCTGGCGCAGACTGCCCTGCGCAGGGAGGTAGTTCAGTGTCAGGAGGTGCGCGCTCCCTTGTACTCCGCAGGCACTTTGCTACATTAACATGGCATTCCAGTTGGAGAAACAAACCCAAAGTCGCCCCTGGTCTGCAGGAGTTGTGCTCAGATTAGATAGAGGGCGCCGAGATGTAAGGAGACCTGGTTGGGCTCCAGCCCGTGGGGATAGAGAAGTCCCTCCAATAGACACAGGAGCTGGTGGGGTGGGTCAAGTTCTGGAACCCCTCCCTGAAGGCTCCGCCCAGGCTGGTGTGGGTAGGAGTACAGTCAATGTATCCACTGCTCTCCCAGAAAAGGGGGACTGCCCAGAGCTAATGTGTCCGCAGGTTCCTATCAAAAAGCAGCTGTTGGGCTTTGACTGTCAAGTGAGATGTGACGGGGCTCTGCAAAGCCCCTTGTTCTACTGTGAGCACACGGAGTAGTTCCTTGTGGTTTTTGAGACCTAGAACTTTTTGGTGCTTTGCCAACTGGGGTCTTCCCGGTTGAAAATTGGAGGGGGGAGTAGTTGAAGTGTGGAAACCGGTGTTGGGCATTGGGTGGCACCCAAGGAAGGGGGTTGAATGTGCTTGGCTAGGACAACTAACGCGTTTTCTTCTCTGCTCCTAAGTGAGGTCCTTTGGTACTGAAGACCGTCCCACAGATAGGCCTGCCCCTCCCAGGGAGGAAATTTATGAGTACATCATTTTCCGGGGAAGCGATATCAAAGACATCACAGTGTGTGAACCTCCAAAAGCTCAGCACTCTCTCCCTCAGGACCCTGCCATCGTCCAAGTGAGTGCGGGCTCTGTGCCTGTGGGACCGTCTCTGAGGGCGCTGGAGGCCAAATGGAACTTGGTGTCGACCGTTAGGCCAGAGCGTTCAACTCGAGGGATGGCCTTTTAATGAAAAGTTGTTTAGTTTTTGTCCAGGAAAGCCTTAACTCCTGCAGCATCATTTTGTGTGTGGAGTGAGAGATAATGCTGTGGGGGGGGGGGGGGGCGGGGACAAGTGAGTGCGCCCAAGGAATTGGTGGTCAGTCTAAATCCCCAGCACTATGGTGTGCATGGCATAAGATGCTAGCAGGGACAGCAGGACTTGTTCTGTTAACTCTGCCCAGATGTTAAGTTGCAGTGCTGTGTTATGGTGTGTTTTGCCCAGGATTACCAGAGAGCCCAAGTTAATGTTTTCTCCTGACTTGTAAATTAAGTATTCTCCAGCTCCTTTGGAGCACCAACTGCAGGGAGAAACCCCTAAGTGGGCCTGAGAGAATGGGGATTCTTGGCCTCATTCCCATTGGGGGCAGGGCCACGCCAAGGATGGTGTGTCTTCTCTCTTGCAGAGCCTAGACTACCTGGTGCAGGCAGTGGGGAGCCATAGAGGGCTTAATTAAGTTAGGGGAAGTTTGAGTGAGGATTACCTGCACAGGTGGGGCTGGGCATAAAATGTGGAAAGGCAGCTGTAAGCTCCCTTAGACAATCCTGGGAGCTTACCCCCTTAGGGTCACCCAAGCTTCCAGGAAGCAGGCTGCAGACTGGGATGTCTGTCCTGTCTGAACCGGCTGGGTGACGGGGCCTGGCGCTGCTCTCACCTGTGTATCCCCTCGCTCAGTCTTCCCTGGGCACGGGCTCCTCTTTCCAGCCGCACGTGCCTTACAGCCCCTTCAGAGGGATGCCGCCCTACAGCCAGCTGGCCGCCAGCTCCCTGCTCAGTCAGCAGTACGCAGCTTCCTTGGGTCTAGGTGAGTAACCTTTCTTTCTGCTAACCTGCCGTGCTGTGGCCTCCAGGAAGCGGGCTTCCGCTCCTGATGGGGACACAGTGTCCTTTGAGTGCTAGGCCGTTCAGTGACTACTCACTGAGAGTAGGAGAGGCAACAGTCTGGGTCCTGGAACAGGTGAATCAAATCCATGTTCAGTTGGTGTCAGCCCAGGTCTAGGGGAGGCCTGGTACATTGCTTCAAAGACCTGATAACTTCCAGGTGTAATCACAGTGCGTCTGACTCCTTGCACATTTGTAAACCTGCAAATGTGAAACTTAAATACAGCATTGCCAGGTTACTTCTTCTTCATTCTCCTGTCGATGCCTCACTCAGAAATTGTTTCCCAATTGAATAACCCTGGAATAAGAATATCCTAACACGTAGTGAGGATCTGCCTGAGCCTGGCCGAAGCTCTTCTGAGCAGTCAGGCCGTGGGGTTGGCAGCCTCACCCTCCTCGCTCCTGCTCTAACGATAGGGTGTGATCAGGCCCTCAACGGTTGTGTGGGTCCCTTGCTTCTGAGTCCTGTTGTCTTGGCTGCTGCTCCTAGTGTGGCAGTGCCCTCTCGGCCCAGCTCCTTGTGTTTCTAGAACAGGTTTGTGTGAGCAAAGTGTCCTAGGAGAGATGCTTGGCTCTTTCCAAGCCTGCTTAAATGCAAGACAAGTGTCTCATTACTTATCTGTGCCCTTTCTTTTTGCTCTTTTCTCCTTTCTCTTCTTTTAGAGAAGCTGGTAAGCCCTCCAGCCTCAGCCGCAGCCTCCAGCCCTAGCTCCTCTCCATCTCCACAGCCCGTGTCAGAGCCTGACATGTCCTCAGAGCCACACCAGCTCACTTCCAAGGGTAACGGCAGTTTGGGAGAACTGCACGCTGTCTTTCCATCCTGAGAGCAGGGGGGTAAACCATAGATAGCCCAGAGGGACACTGGCTGTGACAGGATTGGCTGAGCCTGTGGATCAGCTAAACTGTGCTTCTGGTTCAGCACATGGTCCTGCCTTAGGAACTCTGGTCTTAAAGAAGGGCTAGAAAGCCCTTCGCTTGCTGTGCTGTCACTGCCACGTGTGGGCACTGCCCTCTGCTCAGGTCCTCCGTGGTCTGGATTGCTGGGGAAGACTGCAGGGGAGCCTGCTGAGCAGCTGCATGCAGCTCTGGGACCTGGGAAACATTCCTCACTCACAAAATTGGCCTCACATGGCTGAGAATGACAAAGCCACTTTAAAGCTGGGTGGCCAATCCGAGCTCTTGACAGGTGAACAGTGTGGGCTGATGACGGCCTGTTAATGCTGGTGGTGGGGGTTTCTGGCCTTGCCTGGCATTGGTTCTTTGCGTTTTGCTGGGGGTCTGGAGTTGACATGCATGACTGGAGGCAGAGCTCTGCGCACACCGTGGAGACTCACTCAGTCCAGGATAGTGCTTGTCAGCCTGTGTTTTGCATGTGCCCTGCACGGGCACCAGTGCACTTGCGGTACCAAGGAGTGATGCTCTCCCTCAAATGTTACGCAGACACACTGTTCTCAAAACCCTGAAAACTGCGCCTAGGCAAGATGGTATAACTGCTCCACCGGTGTCAGAGAAGGCCAGGAGGCCCAAGGTTCTTGCCTGTGCGTTAGAGTGTGAGGACTCAGTTGGGCTGTGTGGCTCAGGGAAGGTTGTGCTGGGAAGGTGACAAGCCAGAGGAAGTGCTCTGGGGCAGTGCCCATTGTAGGGACACTGCAGTTGCCTGTGACAAGGCTGTTCCAGTCAGTCCCTAGAAGTACTTTGATCCGGTGGCAAGGTATTTGTCACAGTAATTTCTCTGGTTTTTGTCCCATTGAAAAAAAAATTTGTAATCTTCTCTTATCCCAGGCCACCCCTGTCAGTCTAAGGACCCCAAGGTTAGGGCTGGTCTTTTCTGTCTCAGACCTTGGTGCACTTCCACCCACAGACCCAGGACCGGGTGAGAGGGGAGCAGACAGCTGATGAGTAAGGCACATCCCTCTGTCCTCTTTCTTTAGAGGACCCTCTTGTAAGGCTCGGTTTCTGAGCATTGGTGTCCTGTGCTCAGGGCTGGGAGTGCAGCTCCATTGCCCAGGGCAGCCTGGAAGCCTTTGTTCTTCAGGACAAGCCTGGACCCTCACGGACCCCGCAGGCCGCACTCTTCTGTGGTCAGCGCTGCTCATCCTTTCCGCTTTGTTACGCTTTACACAAAAACAACAGTATCCTAAGACTTAACTCGAATGGCTGGCCACTGCGTTTTCTGGACAGTCCCAGGCTGGGATGGCTCTTGCTCGGTGGGGGCCAGTGTGGAACAAATCCTCATACAGCATCTTGGGACCACAAAGCCCCCTTGGGGTCAGAGCCATTTCTAAACCACTGGGAGGGGCTCCTTGTGGCCGGGTGTTGTCCCGCTGTGGGGTTTCCTCACAGAGCCTGGGCCTCAGCTTCCAGGCTGAGCTGGCCTTGCTGCTGGAGCTACTGCAGAGGTGTGGCATGCTGAGGGGGCTGGGACTGGGTTGGGTAGACCCCTTCTGGGCGATTGCCTCTCCCCCTGCTTGAACAGAAGTGTCTTTGGGGACCAGGGAGCTTTCTCCTTTTCTCTGTTGTCAATCTGCCTTCTCTCCCCAACTCAGGAGCTGGTTTTCCATCCATCCCAGTTGGCAAGAGCCCCATGGTGGAGCAGGCTGTCCAGACTGGTTCTCTTGATAACCTGAACGCCAAAAAGCTGTTACCTGGTGGCAAGGGCACTGTGGGGGTGCAGCTCAACGGGCGCCCAGCCCCGCCAAGCGGCAAGAGTGCCAGCGGTACTGAAACACTCGCTCCCTGGGGTGTGCTCCCTCTTCTCACCGTGCACACTGCTGCCTGGGGCTTTGTAAAAGGAATTGCACCCCTCCTAAACCACGTGCATTTGCAGGGCAGGCCCCTGTCGCATGTCCCCTGGGGTGGTGCCATCTGCTTCCGTCCCAGCTTCTGCTCTGGCAGGCGCTTGCCTTACTATCCCCTTTTGCGCCTTAGATGTAGTTCAGCCAGCCGCTGTGCAAACGCCAGGGCAGGTGAACGACGAGAACAGGAGGCCCCAGAGGAGGAGATCAGGTAACAGCTGCTGCCACGTTTTGGCGTGCTCTCTCCCCCTGCCATCCCTCCCCGACCCCCCCGCCTGCTTCTCTGGGCACGGTTTCAGGGGTGCCAGGGCTTGGTGGCTTCAATGTGTTCTCTTTTCCTCTCTTTGTCATCTGTCTCACACTCAGTAATATGTTGGTGGCTCATCAGCCATGTCTCGTTTCTCCTCACAGGGAACAGAAGAACAAGGAATCGCTCTAGAGGGCAGAGCCGCCCAACCAACGTCAAGGAGAACACAATCAAGTTTGAGGGGGACTTTGACTTTGAGAGTGCAAACGCCCAGTTCAACCGCGAGGAGCTAGACAAGGAGTTCAAGAAGAAACTGAACTTCAAAGGTCTGAGTCCTCGTGTGGAAATTGTCCTTGTTCTCCATGGAGTATCCACAGAGTGGGTCAAACAGCTGGAGCTGTGAAATGGGGTGTGTGTGTGTGATGGGGGCCTGTAGGGGAGCTGTGCCCTGTAGGGTGGATGGCATGGGCTGAGGGGAGAAGCCACTTAGCCCAGAGCACTCATTTGGTTGCTAAGTGACAGCAGCCCTGCCAAGACAGAGGTGCTTTTCCTGCCTCCAGCATTTCAGTGGCTCCACTTCTCTGTGCAGATGACAAAGCTGAGAAGGGGGAAGAGAAGGACCCGGCAGTGGTGACCCAGAGTGACGAGGCGCCTGCTGAGGAGGACCACCTGGGGCCCAACTGCTACTATGACAAGTCCAAATCCTTCTTTGACAACATTTCCTCTGAACTCAAGACCAGGTCAGAGGGCGGGATTAGGGGTGGAGGTCCGGGTGAGCTGGTGGGAAAACACACTCTGCCTCAGTTTCTAGGACTGGGGTGCACTATCTTGTTGATCACTCAGCTCTCAGGTTTGGGCCCTACTCACATGTCTGCCACAGTGGACACATCAGTCCCCGTGGTGGCAGCATGGGAGGCCCTGGCAGTCACAGGCCCTGAGCCACTCTCTCACTTCCCTCCTGGTTTCTCTGCCCTGCCCATTGAGGCTGGGCTGGCCCCACACCCCAGCTGAGTGACTATGGACTTACTTCCTGGTTCCCAGCTGACCCTGGAGGCCTGAGGTCCTTGCTACCTGAGTCAACTTGCCTGAGTGTCAGGAGTATTCTGTTCCAGGTGCTCTTTCACCTGACGCTTGAGGCTGGGACCCCTCGTGTGGTATGTTTTCAGCACCTGACGGCTGGTTACTCAGGTGTTGCCCCATGAACAAGCTAGACTAGGAAAGAACTCTGCCGAGCTAGGCATGCTGCACAAACTCCAGTCCATCCCCTGGCAAGCAGAGTGTCAGGCAACTGCTGAGCATGGAGGGTGCAGCAGAAAGCAAGCACTGCCCTGGGCTGGGAAAGTGTATGAGGAGGGCAAACAAAACAGAGATAAAACAGAAATGCATTGAGGAGAAGCGGGTGGTGACTCAAAATGGGCTGCGGATGCTGTGGGCCGAGAGCAGGTTTCCAAACCTGTTCCAGTGGGCAGGGCCGGCAGCTGTCAGGTTGGGAGCCCAGGATTGAAGCCACCTGACCTTTTACCACGAGGGTCTTCGGTGAGAGTGGCTGCAGGTGGCCGCTTCCCAATAGTTCAGGTGTCTCACCTAGGCTGATGATGGAGAGGCTTGGCTTCTGAACTGCTTTGGAGGTGGAGCTAGTCATGTGCTGGCAGGATATGCGGAGAGCCAGGTGGCCTCAGGGGCAGCTGGGACACAGCTGCTGTTTCTTTAAATGAGGGTTGTTAATAGTTGCGGGTCTGTACTAGAGATGCTTGGGGAACACAAGGGGTTCTGGAGCCGGGCTGTGCTGCTTCCCAGCACCCATAAAGTATAAGCACATTCTCGGGGACCCTGCCTGTTTAGCCCAGCCCCTTTCTCGTCTGGTAGAAGCCTGTTTGGAGGGCTCATGGTCTGCTCCAGGACTTGGAGACTGTGCAGGCCTGAGCCCAGCAGCAGGGAGGCTTCCATTGGAGTACAGTAGTGCCACGGGCTTGTCTGGGGGACAGGCATGAGCTCTGTGCCCAGCAGCCTAGTTTCGTGAGCAATGGGCCTGGAGCTCCTGCATTGTTGGGTGTCGAACTGCAGGAGACTAGCTGGGTCACCCCTCCAATGGCTCCAGGAACACAGTGTCTGTTTGTCCTTCCTCATAGGCCCAGAAAGTTGGTATGGCTGCCCCAGCAGTCGGTTTTCACAGCCTTTGTCTGGTTCAGTTCCAGGCGGACCACGTGGGCTGAGGAGAGGAAGCTCAACACTGAGACCTTCGGGGTGTCGGGAAGGTTTCTTCGTGGCCGTGGATTCCGGGGTGGACTGCGAGGGGGCAGAGGCAGCGGCACCACCCGGCGCAACCCGACTTCCCACAGAGCTGGGACTGGCAGGGTGTGAAGAGCAGACAGAGGTGGGTGGGGGACCTGCGGGTCCTCTAAGGGGGGGCCATAGGGATGGAGTACCCCCCTCCATACCTCCCCAGCCTCTTCAGGAAGAGTGCAGAACCGAGGGCCACCCTCCAAATCTCCAGGGGGCTCTTGGGGACCCCGGGCCCAGCTTTGTCAAAGTGGGTTCCTGTGCAGGAAGGTGGGTGCTTGCTCCTCAGGGGAGGGGTCAGCCAGGAGAGCTTGACAAGCCAGGGTCTCAGTGCAGCCTGGCCCTGGCTTTTTCACGAGGTCCCAGGTGACGTGTGTGCCCCTAGGGGCTGGTGGTAAGCGGGTCTTGGTGGATGGGACCCGAAGCTGCCTGCTGCGGCATGCGTACAGAAAGAATTTTCCTGGTGGGCTGTGATGGGGGAGTTTGGGAAGCCCTGGCTGACATGGGGGACGCCTGCTGAGAGCACTTACATGGTGTCATGTTCCCCTCAGACTTCTGCAGAGGCAGCGGCAGAAACGAAGCTGAGTGAGGACGCTGCACTTGCTGGACAGACAGACGATGGGTCACCGCTTATTATTTTTGTTTTGACGTCATGGAACTTGGACATGGTCTGAGTTAGAACTGCTCACGTTCGGGAGTGTTTGGGTGACCTCTCTGAGGTCTCTGGATCTTTCCTCTTCAGTTATGCAGTCTAACCTAAGGTTTTGGTGTTTTGCAAAAAGTTTTCTAGAGTGAAAGCTTGATCCTCACTTTGAAAAATTTTTTTTACAACTTTCACTATTCAAGTGGACCGTGTGGCAGCCAAGCACAGCTGTCACCCAAGCTGGCCTGGTATTCCCACTGCCACTGGTGGGCCTCGGGAGCAAGGTAGGGTCAGCCCAGGGGTGTGGGGTCAGGTGGGCCCCAGTAGAGAAAAGTGGAGGTCCTACAGATCATGTGTGAGCAGACAGACCACCTGATGTCCAGGGTGGCAGTGTCGAGGTTGGGACTGGCATGATGACACACTTGGGAGGTACAGTAGGGGCCTGAACATGAGCTGGGAGCTGTTGCTCAGAGCCTGGCTTCCACAGGAATCAGGGTTGGGGTGGCGTACCCATCCTTTCTGTCCTGCCAGCCCCTGCCAGACAGTGTTGGACTCAGGCCACTGTTCGAGTCTCATCCACTTGGAAATGAGTCAGTCTTTTTTGCAAGCTCGGCTGATAGAACTCCGAGTTGTAAATAGTTTTGTTTTGTAGGAGGGTGGAGGGAGGTGGGATGTAAACCGTTGCATGAGTCAATGGGTCACCTTAGTACAAGCATGCTCCCCCCTGAAGACAGGGCATCTTGGTGGACAGAAGCACCTTGGTAACTAAATTCCCTAGACAGCCATAAAGATTTTGGTTCTGTATTAAGTTACTGTAAAAGCTTGGGTTTATTTTTGTAGGACTTAATGGCTAAGAATTAGAATGTAGCAACGGGGCTGCTCTCTTGGAGTAATGTATATTGTAATTAAAATAAACACGCAAACTTTAAAATTCTCTTCTTTGCTTTGGAAGTAAGTGGTCCCGTTGATACTGCCTGAATCCCATCACACCTGACAGGCAGGCCTTAGGGGACCTCTGATGCTCGTCTCAGCTGGACTAGGCAGTGTCAGGCTGGCCACCCTTTTGGGATGAGTGCCTCTGCCTTCCTGACACAAAGTAGTTTCTAAAACTCAGTTCACAAATGAACCTGATTCAGAAATGGTTCCTTGGTCCATCCCTTACACAGCTTCTAAGCTGCCAAGCATCCCTGTTCTCAGTGCTTTCAAACCTGTTCCAGGGCTGGGCCACGTTTTTGGCAAACTTCCTTTTTTTTTTTTTTTTGACAACTAACATCCTTGACCAATAAAAATAATCCTCCCAGGTGTGCACATGCTAGATTCAGACAGCCAGGGCACAAATTTGAAATTAGTTGGGAACAGTTGGACTAAAGTATTTTCTGTGCTGAGATTCTACATATTGTCAATTCTGTTACCATATGTAACCAACCTTCCTGCTCAAGTCTTGAACTGAAAACCATTGACAGTTGCGTTTTAGGCTGAACTAAAATATCTTGGCCTCTTGACTCCTTTTCATAAGATAGATTACATGTGCCCTCAAGGGGAATGTGGAGTAAGAAAGCTACTGTTGGAGGCAGAAAGGGGGACCCTAGAGTCCTAGCAGAGTTGTAAGGGGCAACCACCCAGGGACCCAAAGGCCACCTGTCACCAAAACCAGTAGCCTCCAGAGGAGCAGGCCAATGTGCTTGTTAGGGTTTTCTGTAGGGAAATTAAGACTATGACTTATACTGCTAATGGCTTAGAGGCTAGGATTACAGGCTTTCTGGCTAAAAAGTGAACAAGGCACTGGGTGGCTCAGTCGGTTGGAGCTTCATCTCGTACACTCAAGGGCTATGGGTTTGATTCCTGGTCAGGGTGCGTGCAGGAGACAACTGGTCCATGTTTCTGAACACTACCCCTCTTCTCCTCTCAAAATCAGTAAACATCTTCAGTGAGGATAAAAAGATTAGAAAGTGAGAGGGTGATAACAGTAAGCACCAGAAGTCTTAGCGGAGACAATATGAGAAATGTTGACTTGACCTAGAAAAACCATAAACACAAGGCTAGTTCTAAAAGCAACTGCTACTATGCAAAATTCTGAGGTAAACACTTAAACAGTGCTATCTGTGCTCTTGTCCTTGACCTTATGTTAATTAGGAGCTTGGACAAAGGTCAGAAGAACAATCAACCTATTTGGAACATGAAAAGGAGGGTCAGAAGTGCCAGGTGCTCCTTCCTACTGCAGCCCTGACACCTGTGGTACTGCGTGAGCTCAGACTCCTTGCAGCCCTTCCACAGTCCCCAAAGGACAACCCCCACTCGGCCTGTGGCTGTTGTCTTGGAGCCTGGCAACAAAGAGGGGAGGAGAGCTTTCAGAGACTGACCCGGAGGGGTCAACTCCATTTCCTCAAGAGCTACTAGAATTCCAGGCCTGGCCGGGTAGCTCAGCTGGTTAAATATGCCAAGGTGGCAGGATGCCAGTCAGGGCACATACAAGAGTCAAAGAACGCATAAATAAGTGGAACAAATTAAAGTTTCTCTTTCTCCCACTCGAGTCGATAAAAATTAAAAAAAAAATTTTAAAAATAGAGCTATCATAAATCCATCAATAGATGCATGGCTTGTAAAAAGGTAAGGTTAAAAACATGGAATTTATTGTAGGACACAGACAACGGGATGTCAGTGCCTGCGGGTTGGTTGGTTCTCACATCAGCCATGATTTGCATTTAAAAATTGCTCCCAGCAAGATTTGATCATGATGCTTTCTTTTGTTTCTTCTTTTCATTTTCTTCTTTTTCTTTTTCAATCTCAGCCACATATTTCTCAATTTCTTCAGGATTTAAAATCTACCAAAAGAGAGTTTCTTGTTAGCCCCTCAGCCTCGGAGGTGCCCCAGTGCAGTAAGGTCCCCCACAGGGAGGGGGCTCCTGGACACCCTACAGCTGCTTCAGGATGACAAGGCCATGTGCCGGTGGGAATTAGTGAAAAGCAGAAACCAACCCGCACAGCTGCTGACAGCTTGTCTGCATGCCAGGCACACGTGATCCCCATCTGTGACCATGCGGTCAGCCCTGGCATGCTTGCTTCCCACCCGTTTGTGAGGAGCCTTGCCTGGTGCTAAAGCCACAGCAGCGTGAACCAGCACTGCCCTGCCTGTCCCCAGGAGCGCTCCACTGTGACAACAGCAAGAGACGTGGGTTTACCTTGAGGGGCTGGTCTCGCCTCATGACAGCCAGCTCAATGTTTTTGCCGCCCGACTGAACCACCTTGGGAGGAGAAGAGGGCGAGAAGAGAGCATTAGATAGCCAAGCCCACCCTAGGACCAAATAGGGTTGCCAACCAGTGGCCCATGAGGTCTGAAAGGTTGGCAGCCGCTGCTTTAGACGATCACCTGTGCACCCAAACACAGCACTGCCACTCGAGGGGACAGGCTGGGCACACTGCAGTCCCAGCACCCACAGCTTCTGCGCTGCCCCCTGCCTCCTGGCAGTCAGACCTTGGCTGGGTCTCTGGTCCCTGCTCCTGCACAACTGCTGGGCTCCTGACACCAACCCCCTGCTCTCTACCCCAGCCTAGCCTCCAACTAGTCCCTCTCTGCTTCTGGCTTTACCCTTTAGCATCTGTAAGATGCTAGACCCTACAACTCCCAGCAGACCTCCTAATTTCTGCTCTCCCAGTAGCCGGAGCCCCAGGAAGGCTGAGTGTGGTTATAAGCTATGCCCTGACTGCCAGTCACATGTAGGAGCTGGCTGAGCAGAGCAAACCCTTGTAGCATGCCACCAGGGAACACTTTTAGGGCATGGGTGTCCTCACCAGCTTGCCCAGATGCAAAGGCACACTTACTTCCAGGAGGGCCTTGATCACCAGCTTGATGGTCAGATCGTCTGTCTCGATGGCTTCGTCAGTGTAATTCTTCTCCAGAAACTCACGCACTGACTTGGCACCCCGGCCTATGGCATTGGCCTGAGGGGAGTATTCTACGTTACAGAACAACCCAGACCCAAACCAACAACTCGGCCAGTGTGGGCCAGCCAGCTGCCCCTGTGCTGTGCTTGAGGGCAGCCTGGGCTCCGGGGCCTGCCTCGATTCTCCCCAATAGTAGATACCGTATCGGTGCTGACAGACTCGTGGCCACTTCACTTTAAGCCATGAGTCCTTACAGCTCACTGCCCTTCCCCCCAAACAGTGCTGTTCCATAGGCCGTGTGCACACACACCCCGGAGGGAGGCACAGCCCACAGGGCCTCCCAAGCACCTTTACTGTGGCAACACAGCCTGCAACCCCTCTCTGCCAGGGACTCACCTTCCAGGCATGGTATGTGCCCGATGGGTCAGTCTGATAGAGTCTGGGGGTGCCATCAAAGTCGAAACCCACAATGAGGGCTGAGATGCCGAACGGCCTGCGCCCATTGCTCTGTGTGTAGCGCTGACAGGAAACAGAACACATCACTGTGCCATCTCAGCACCACAAGCCCGCCCACGCCCACGCCCACGGGAAATCTCCGCTGCGCTTAGTGAGGGAAGAGAACAGCCCCGGGTCCCCTCCTCAGGTTACTTCTAAGGATGAGCAAGAATAGCAATCGCTCCCTCTCTACTTTTCTGCATTCTCATCCATCCAGCCAGGCTGGGCGCAGGGCCGCCCCATGGAGCACAAGTGAGGCTGTGCGGAGGGTGGGACAGCAGACACACATTCTGGCTGCACAGCTGGTGTGAAAGGCGACCAGCAGTTCACCTTAGGGCAGGGGTGGCTTCCAGTCCCTCCCAAGTCCTTAGTGACCATCACTCAGAATGGCAAGATAAAACTAACCCTTCCCTCCAGAAATAGGCGTGTGGAGCCCCAATCCCATCAACATGAACGACGCCACCAACATGGGCAAGTGACAACAAACACATGCACAAGCAGGGCTGGGCCCCAGACGAGTGCAGGCCTCAACCTTCCCGCAGTGACGTGTGCCAGCACCCACACTAACAGCAGGACGCCCTCCAGGACCTAGCGGTGCCCACACGTGTCCAGGCCGAGCCGCAGGGGGCCTACCTGCTTCAGGCTGGCGATGTAGCGGGTAATGTACTCCACGGTGACCGGGTCCTCCACCGTCAGCCGGTGGCTCTGGCACTCCACCCGTGCCCTATTGATGACTATCCTTGCGTCGGCGGTAAGGCCTACAGGACAGCAGAGCATCACCGTGTGGCCATGATCAGAGACACAGATCACATGAGCAGACAGCAAACCAGTCCTCTAAAGCAGCGGTCACCAACCGGTGGTCCACGGGGCACTGGTGGTCCGCTCAGCCTCTGGGCTGACCAAGAGCTGTGTGTGCCAGGCCCGGTGAAGTCAGGCAAGTCACCCTCGTTCAGCACAGGGTAACTGGAATGTTCCCCAAATGGACCCACCAAGGGAGGAGAGCTGAGAGCACCGCCCTGCTGCACAGGCGCAGTAGCTGTAGAAAGCCTGACCTCTCTCTAGACAGTCACTATAGTCAGGGACATGCTGATGACAGTGGAGGTGACGGCAAAGCCATATGTCCTGGGGTAGTTATTCCTGCAGTCTCTGCTCCAGCCATGGGGCAGCGAGCCTCCTCACCAAGAAACCACCGCCAACCCTTTAAAGGCCCAAACCCATTGCTTTAAAGGACGTGGGTTTACCCAGTTCACACGTCTCTCAAAGCTCCGCTTGGCCCGAGGCTCACCTGCGAATGCCATGCAGACGTTGTCGTCCAGGGCACAGATCTTCCGCACTGTCCTCTCATCCTGCAGTTTGGCCACCGACTTCTTTTCCACACCAAGAACAACAATGTCTTTTCCTCGAACGCCAACCTTCAAGAAAAACCAGCACAGCACTAAGTGACCTGAGGGTGTGCAGCAGGCATGGAGCTCTGAGCAGGTGTTCAGGGTCCTGGGTCACAGCTGTGGTGCCACGCTGGCCAACCACGCTACTGATCTGCTGTGGTAGAGCCCCCAGCTGTGTGACTGTGCCCAGACCTGTAGCTTCAATGACAACATCTGTCGTGTCACCAGTGTGTACGTGTGTCACTCAACCCACTGAATCAGTCATACGAAAAGGCTCGCAGCCCGAGATCCTAGGACCAAGCCAGGTGTTCTGGAAGTCGTGGTTCAGTGCCTATGGCCTACACTACTACCCACCCTTCCCTTTGAATGTGTGCAGGAGGTTAGCACCGCTTATGGCTGGCATTGAACAGGGAAGGAGGACACATTAAAATTACAACTCACTCCTGGCCCCTGGCAATGCATGTGAAAGACAAATGGGGTCAATCCCTCAGAGAAGCTTAGTTCAGAGCAGGGCTCCTCAGCCAGGGTGCTGCAGGCCCGGGCTGGCTCACTCTGTGAGGTGGGGGATGCTGTGCTCTAAGGTGTTTACCCCTAGATGCCAGAGGCACCCTCTAGTCTTGGACATGGAACAATGTCTGCGCAGGCTACCAAATGCCTCTGGGGTGCAAAATGACTGGTCTGCCCTGTCAGATTTCAAGGCGCTTTCTTCAGAGCTCCCCAGGACTGGCAGGCCGGCCCTGAGGTGCTAGGTGGGTTAAGCAAAGCCAGCCTCATATGGGGGGGAGGGAAGGGTCAGTAGACTCTCACTCCAGTGCTCTTTAAGCCGAGTTAGGTCGCAAGGTGGATTCTGATCTTAATTTCAAAAGATGTTCAAGAAACGGAAACACCAAAATTTACAGAACTGTGTGCTTTCTTTGTTTTGCTTGCTCACATCTCTGAAATATCAGGTAATAAAAGGAAACCTGGACAATAAGCAAACTGACACCGACGTGAAGAATTTCAAAACGAGAGGAAGGCTCAGGACAGTGGGTCAGTGCATTGCCCCGCTCCTTACCCAGGAGAGAACCTCCAGCTCAGTGGGAACTACTCAGCTCATACGGAGAACCTCCGCTTTTTTCTGAGGACAACGCTCTCCCTAGTGGGGGAAGTCCCCTAGCTGGGACCTATCTGGATGCACTTAAGTCACCTGCGTACTTAACGTTCACGGAGCCAGTGAGCAGCCAGCCCCGCCTGCTCACACGCAGGGGCCTCGGCACAGCCCACACCAGCCACCCGTTCAAAGGCAGGGCGGGGCGGCGCAAGATGGCCGGCACCTCCCGGCCCGCTCTGGCTACCAGGAGGCAAGAGGAAGGTGGCACTGTGAAGCTCATCAATCGCACCCTATTTGCTGGTTTGCAAAGCACCTGACGGATCACCATTAACACCCCCTCAATGGCCCTTGTTGCAAACCCAGTGTCCGGAGGGCAGCCCCATCAGACTGTCCCGTCCTGCCGTTCCCGCCCGGCTCCACAGGGCCCGGCGTGCCCTTTCCGTTTCCTTCAGGGGTCCCGACCCTCGGCCCCTGTTACCAACTGACGCCCAAAGCACTGGCGGCAAAGAGGAGCTTGTCAGCGCGGCCGCGGCCGGGCTCAGTGGCAGGAGCACGGGGCCTCCGGGCCCCATGGGAACGCTCCGTCCACGACCCGGTCCCGTTCGATTGGGGGCATCCTCCGCCCCGGCAGTGACCGGTCCGGGCCTCGCGGATTGCTAGGTGCCCCCAGTCCGGGGCCTCCCCGATCCCCCAGCCGAGCCCCTCCGGCTCACCGCACCCCCGCGGCCCCGCGGCCCGGGCCGCCCGCTCCCAGCCGCACCCCGGCCGCCCGCTTCCGGCCGCCTGCGGGCCCGGCGCAGAGCGCGCGCTCACCGCGGTGGAGCCCTTCTTCACGGCCTCCTGCGCGTACTCCACTTGGAAGAGGTGGCCGTCGGGCGAGAAGACGGTGATGGCGCGGTCGTAGCTCATGCTGGCGAGCGGCGGGCCAGGCCGGGAAAAGCGCACACTCACCCCCGCGCGGCCCGCGACTCCCCCTGCGCCCGCCGCGCCTGCCCGCCCCGCCCCGCGTCCGCAGCGTGCGCGAGCGTGGCGGCGTCGGCGAACGTGCGCGCCGGGGCGGGGCCGGGCCGAACCACCGGCGCCGGGGCGGGGGGCGGCGGGGCGGGGGAGGGCCGCGCGCGAGGCGGGGGCGCGGTCCCCCGGGGGCGGCGCGCGGGGCCGGCCGTGGGGCCCGGCGGGGCGGGGGGCGGCGCGGCGGCGGGCCCGGGGGCGGCGCGGCGGCGGCGGCGGGCGGACGAGCCCACGGCGGGCTCCCCCGCACCCCCACCCCCAGCGCCTGCGGAGAATGAGCACCTCGGGCCGCCGAGCGCAGCGGGAGGAGAAGCCCCGATGATCTGGTGCTGATCTCGCGCCGCGACCATGTCGGTGGCCTTCGCGTCCGCCCGGCCGAGAGGCAAAGGGGAGGTCACGCAGCAGACTATCCAGAAGGTAGGCGGGCCCCGCGGGCGAGGCGGTGCGGGGCGCGGGCGTGCGCGGCGGGGCCGGGACCCGGCAGCCGGCGGGCTCGGGGCGCGAACAAAGCCGGGGCGCAGCCGATGGCCGTCACCCCGCCGGGCCCCACGAGACCCCGCCACCAGCCTGCGCCCAGGTGGGCGGGGGCTGCGGTAGCGGTGCTGGGCGACGGGGCCGCGCGACCTGGGGGTGGTGCCCGAAGGGTCGTGCCCGCGGACGGAGCCGGGCGCAGTGCGGACCCGCCGCCTTCGGGCACCCGGCGCCGCGGATAGGGGCGTAGGGCGGCCGGGATGGTGCCGGCGGGGTGCGGGTCATGGGCTAAGCCCGGGGGTAGCCGGGCCACACCAGCGCAGAGGGCTCTCCGTCGGACTGGCTGAGGCTGTGGCGCAGCCCCGCGGGCGGCCCCTGGCCCCAGGGCCCAGCTTGGCGAGTGGAGGGGGCCCACAGCTGGCCACGCTCAGCCCTCAGTAAGGGCCGGCACGTCCCGAGTGTGCGATGCCCTTCCCGTTCGGGCTCCTCCGCGGCCCTGTGAGGAGTGCTGGCCGCCTTGAGCTCGACCTGCTGGCCACGCTTTGCTGCCTTAAGCGCGTGTCCAGTTGTTTTCCACCCGGACCCCGGGGCCGGCACCCTTACCTGTCAGAAACTTGACGGGTTCGCTTTGTGACCTACTAGAGATAACATCTACATGGAGTTGGGGCACCTTTAACAAAACCCTTAAATTTTGAAGTTAGATTTAGTATTTCTTCTGTTTCTCCAGCGTTTTTACTAGATTTGTTTATTTCTTCCTAAGCCTGGAATTCATGGGGGTAACAGCAGTATTCCTTGGTTCCCAGAAGCCTCTTCTTTCCCTAAGGGGTTTCATCCCAGTGCCCTGCCCCTCTTCTTGATGATGCCAGGGTCTGTGAACCTTGTCTGCTTGGCTGGTTTTGAAAGATGAGTCTCAGGAAAAAAGCTAGTTAAGAAGCAGCAAAAACACAGACTTTAAAATCTGGCATTTTTGTTTGTTTATTTTGTACTTATGTGGTGCTTACTGATACCAGGCACTGCTCTAAGGCTTTACAGATCGTGGCTTATTTAATTCCTGTAGTAGTTACTATCATTCTCATTGTATAGATATGGAAACGGAGGCAGAGGGAAGCCAAGTGCCTGATGGTTAGTGATGGATCCAGGAGTTGAACCCAGACAGGCTCCAGGATTTGCCCCAACCATGACACCTGATGTGGGAACACTTGGTGCAGGTCAAGTGCTTGCTCAGAGACACACTCAGCAATCACCAGGGCCTCAGTGTGAAGAGCAGAGGCCAGCTTTCACCTTCAACATTCATCCAATTATTTACACCTTGCGCTCCCTTCTTAGTGAAGCTCACCACATTGCCAGACAACGCTCTGCTCCTGAGCATTAGGTCAGAGAGAAGGGAGCTGCTGGTTGGAAATGGGTCTTCAGTTTAGGTTGTCATCTGATTTGACCTGAGTAAGCCAGTGATGTGTAGACTCACCGTGGTGTGTTGACAGTGAATCTATGTACCCAGGAGTCTTTTACTTGCAGTGTGAGAAGGCCAAAGAGTTGTGTGACTCACACTCACAGGAGCTGTGTCCACAGCGTGTGCTCATGCTCAGAGCATTGAGAAAAGCCAGGGTTTTTCAGAAGCTGCTTGGTAGTGAGAGAGCAGGAAGTATACAACTTGTCCTTGGAGCATATTTGCATAGAATTCTGCCAGACAAACTCCTACTCAAGTGTCCCTTCCCTCCTTCTCCTTTGGCAGTCATGTGCTGGGTTTTGACACCTTGTCTGGGCTTCCACGTTTGCATGTCACTGACTTATTTGCAAAGTCCCAACCTGTCAGTGCCCAGTGTCCGCAACACTGGGTCTGTCGGGGAAGTGTTGGGATAGTAGATGGATTTGTTTCTTTTGGCAGGTTACCACAGACGGATGGTTTAAAACCAGAAGCATTTTCTCAGTTCTGGAGGCTGGAGGTCAGGGCTGGTTCCTGTGTGGGGCTCTGGGGGGGGATCGCTCCATGTGTTCCTCTGAGCTCCAGTGGTTCCTGGCAGTCCTCCGCGTCCCTCCCTGTTGGGTGTGTCACCCCATCTCTGTCTTTTCTCATGTGGCCTCTCTTCTCTGTATGTCTGAGGGTCCAAATTCCCTTCTTCTTATAAGGACACTTGTCATGGGATTTAGGACCCACCTTAATCTGGACTGACCTCCTTTATCCGAACTTCACTGTGTTTGCAAAGACCCTGTTTCCAAATGAAGTCGCATCTACAGGCACCAGGGGTTAGGGTCAAACCTATTTTGAGGGTCACAATTCCACCCAGTACAGAGGCTGTATGGAGGAGGGGTGTTCCAGGCAGGAGAACTGAGGAGCAGACGCAGAAGGGTCTGGAAGATCCAGGGAGTTGCAGGTGGTCCTGCCCATGGTCTGTGTAGAGCAGGCATGAGGTGCAAATTAGAGGTGCAGGCAGTGCCACTGACCCGGGGAGCGGCGGGTGCAGGTGGTAGCTTGAGGTGACAGACAGTTCTGATGCGGGTGGCACTGCGCTTTGGTGAGAAGCACAGGGACCCGGAGGTGGAGATGGGCGGTGTCCCAGCAAAGTCTGGCCTACGGGCCAGGACCTGCCCTGCACGCTCTCCCTGCTGTCCCGGGCTGTGCTCCCGACACCACTAGCCGTCTCCCTGGACTGCGAGGCGGGGTTTGGGCTCCTTAGAGGACCCCTGGGCACTAGGCCTTGGCTGGCATGCAGGTGCCTCCTTGCTCCTTAGCACAGGCAGTAGAGAGTGGAAGAGAGAGGGAAAGACAGAAACATCAATGTGAGAGAAACACATAGATTGGTTGCCTCCTTCATGAACCCCAATCTGCCCAGACCTTTTGGTCTTCCTGTTGATGCTCTATCCACTGAGCCAAACCGCTAGGGCTTCCTGAGTGTTTTTAACTTAGCTGAGACAATATTCTGTGTCCTACTTCTTTCTTTGTTTCTTTTTCTCTCTCTGTCTTAGTATTTTGTAACATTTTCTCATGCTGACAGATTTTGTAACATTTTCTCACGCTGATAAACTTTATAACATTTTCTCATGCCCTTAAAGACTAAAGAAACATTTGTATTGCTGCTGAGTATCGCCCATTAGCTCTTCCACACCCGAAGTAAACATGGGTGCAGAAACCTTCAGTCCTCAACTTGGTGAGGTCCTGGGAGGGAATTCTTGCCGGGAGGCTGGAGCCTTCCAGGGAAAGAAGCTGTGTTCCAGTGTTTTCCTGTGTTAACTGATCTGGAGGAAAGAGTCACAATGTGTGAAGGGCCAGAATGCCTTTCCTGGTGCCTTTGAGCATCCTTCACCCCTTCACGGGTCCCCAGGTAAGCATGGCAGGCAGTTCTGGGCTCACAGCGCCCCCTGGTGGCTCCCCGTGTTGGCAGGCTGCTGGGTCAACTTGGGAATTGCTGTACTTGGGGCCCCACCTCCACAGTGGGGACAGAGTGGGAAAGCCAGGGGAGGAGGAAGTTGTAATGTCAATAAAAATCAGTCTGGCTGAAACCGGTTTGGTTCAGTGGATAGAGCATCGTCCTGCGGACTGTGTTCAATTCCTGTCAAGGGCATTTACCTTGGCTGTGGGCACATCCCCAGTAGGGGGTGTGCAAGAGGCAGCTGGTCGATGTTTCTCTCTCATCAGTGTTTCTAGCTCTCTATCCCTCTTCCTTCCTCTCTGTAAAAAATCAATAAAATATACTTTTAAAAATATATATAAATAAATAAAAGAATCTTCTTTAAAAAAAAAAAAAATCAGCCTGGCTGACATGGCTCAGTGGTTGAGCATCATCTATGAATCAGGAGGCCACAGTTTCATTCCAGGTCAGGGTATGTGCCAAGGTTGCATGTGCAGTGGGGGGCGTGCTGGAGACAGTTAATCACTGGTTCTCATCCATGATGTTTCTTTCTCTCTCCTTTCCTTTCTGAAATCAATAAAAATGTATTTCTTAAAAAGTTAAAGAGAGGAACCAGCCCTGAGTACTTGGAGGCTGAGGGGCCGCTGACTGTAGCCCTGTAGAGTGCTGGGGCCTGGCCCCTGCCTCTTCTTCAGGCTCCAGAGCATAGGACCACTAGCAGAGACCAGTTAGGGGCATGTGGCACACTGAGGGAGTGGCGCTGGGGTCCTGTGCTGGCGCCAGTACAGTGGCAGGTAGGTGGGCCCCTCTGCCCCCTCACTGCAGGGCCTTACCCACTCAGGGGCCAGCGGAGCTGAGCCTGCCTGGAGAAACCACTGGGGCCAGATGACTGGGCACAACCTGGTGGGAACAAAAAGCTTTTCCTCTGGCGATAGTCTCCGGACAGAGGCCTTTCTACTGGAAGTGGCTTGCTGTGGGCTGTTTTGCTGCTCCTTCCCAAGCAGGGAGGGTCCTGCAGGGCAGCCGGGAATGACCACATGCTTCTCCATCTCTTCACGTCCAGGCAGAGAATGGTGCCCTGGATCTGCCCCTGGCTGGCCTATGTGCTCACCAGACATTGCACCTGCCAGTATCTGCCACAGCGCCCTCCCCTCCCACCCTCCCATCCCCGTTAGGCCGTCCTCCCTCTCCCTCTCCTTCCGTCACCTTCTCCTGGGTCTCATAGCTGCGGTCCCCCCGGTGGCCATCCTGAAGAGGTGGCTCTTGTAGGTCTTTGTGACACTCTGTAGGGATACAAGCCGCCTCCCCTGGGAAGGACGGCTGTGTGGCTGGCATTTGTGGACCTCACACCCTCCAGACAGGTCTTAGGGTCCCCACTCCCTGTTGTAGGTTTTTAACACCCCCTAGCTAGACACATGCTCCATGCTCTGGGGCCCTAGATGGAGGAGGGGAGCATCCTGGGACTGTGGGATCCCATCTGCAGGTGACGAGAGAACATGGGACCGCCCCTGGAGGGGGGCGCTGTGGAAAGGGCTCTGCTGAGGTCACACAAATGAGTGGCAATGTGTTCGTAGAATGCTGACCGCAGGCATTGTCACATCGAGTCAGCGACTGAGCCCGCACCCCCAACCTCCGGCAGGCACTAGATGCACCACATCCTGCGCTCACGTCTGCTTCTTCCTCAGATGCTGGATGAGAACCACCACCTGATTCAGTGCATCCTGGACCATCAGAGCAAGGGCAAGACGGCCGAGTGTGCCCAGTGAGTGAGCCCTCCCGCAGCTCAGCTGTCAGGCTGTACAGACTGCCCAGCGCTGGAAATGCCTCCTGTGGGGGTGCTGAGTGGCCTAGGCATATTGGGCTTTGGAGGTCACTTAAGCCACTGAGCGTCACCCCTGGAGGGTGACCGCATTGCCCCCCCGGTTGCTCCCCAGAGAGGTGAAGGGAAATGGAAGTATGGGAGGAGAGGGGCCGCTGGCACCTCTGTGAGCAGTTGAGGACACACTGGGGACAGGGGGCTCCATCCAGGGAAGACCTCCAGGGCTGGACACAGAGGTGGTGCACAGGCTGGGCATCAGAGCTCCCTGGCGGGAGACGTGTGTGAGTGGCCATCACACCCCCTGGGCACTCCTCCCAACGCCTGTATGCCAGGGGCATCTGCAGAGGGCTAGTCCGCACCCCCTTTGAAGAAGCCGGGTCCCCCTTGGCCACCACCTTGAGTTTGTTGTTGGATGGGCACCCACTCCCCACCTGCCCATCTGGGACTGCAAAGCACTGCTGCTTGCCCTGTCCTCAGGTGCCCAGTGTCCTGGGTGAACTTTGCTTTGGGTTGGCCTGCGGGCTCCCCTGCTTACCACACGCCCCTCGCCTGCAGGTACCAGCAGATTCTGCACCGGAACCTGGTCTACCTGGCCACGATTGCGGACTCCAACCAGAATATGCAGTCCCTGCTGCCCGCCGTGAGTGCCAAGGGGGCGGGGCGGCTCCCACCCTGCCTGGCACAGTCAGGCACTGCCTCAGACCGCCAGCGAGGGAGCCGAGGTCTGAGGTCTTACCTGGTATTGCCAAGGTCACCAACAGGGGGTGAGAAGGGGCAGGTCCTCCCATGATGAGGGAAGTCAGCTGGAGAAGTCCCTGCAGTGACTGCTGGGTGGTGGTCGTTATCTGAACTGACCCTCCTCCCCGTAACCTCCTGTTGCCCACAGCCGCCCACCCAGAACATGAACCTGGGCCCCGGAGCGCTGTCCCAGAGCGGCGGCAGCCAGGGTCTGCATTCCCAGGGCAGCCTCAGTGACGCCATCAGCACTGGCCTGCCCCCCGCCTCCCTCATGCAGGGCCAGATCGGCAACGGTGAGCACCCTGGTTTGGGGTTTGGGTTTGTGGTTGGTTCTGGCAACAGTGTCACCAATGCAGGATCCCAGGCAGCCACATGGGACAGAGAAGGAGACCCCTCTCTCCAGAGGTTCTGGCTGCGGGCCAGCTGCAGGGGCAGGGTGACACTCATTCCAGTCCTCCTGCTGAATTTGCACCTCAGGTTAGGTCCCGAGGGACTTTCTGGGGAGAATGGGCATGCTCCTGTCTGCAGCAGCACTGCTGGCCGCTGGGACCTGTTAGTGACGGCACAGGGCGTCTGCCTGAGGAAGCGGGTGCCGGGCAGAGAGCCCTGGCCTGCCGTCAGCGGTGGCTTTGGGTGGGTTGAAGGCATCCTCACCTGTCTCTCCTGGCAGGTCCGAACCATGTGACCTTGCAGCAGACAGCACAGAGCACACTGCCCACAACCTCCATGAGCATGTCCGGCAGCGGCCATGGCTCGGGGCCCGGCTACAGCCACTCCGGACCCGCCTCACAGAGCGTGCCCCTGCAGGGCCAAGGTGCCATCAGCAACTACGTGTCACGGGCCAACATCAACATGCAGTCCAACCCAGGTAGCGCCCCGCCCGGGCCCAGCCCACGTGCACACCTGTCCTCGGGTCCCTCCAGAGCGTACAGGTCACACACAGGCTGCCCTGCTAGGCACGGCTGGTGCTGAGGGGGAGCTCCCCAGGGTCAGGGGTTGGTGAATACAAGTCAGGCAGTGCCCAGCTTTGGGGGACTGGGAAGGCTCTACGGAGGATGCCTGGGTTCTGCTGAGAGGACAGGACTGGGGCCACTTGGGTGGGGGGAAGGCACAGTGGGGCAGAGAACTACAAGGGCAAAGGGGTGGCCAGGGGCCCCCAGAGCTGGGCTGTCCAACATGGTGGCCTCAGGTGCTGAGTACTCCGGGAGCATCAGGTGCAAACTGAAGTGTCCCATGAGAATCAGACACGAGCTCCAGAGCCAGCCCAGAAAAGCGGGTGTGAGGCGTACTCAATGTGCTAGTAATAATTATATATGGACATGATCATATTTTGGCCCTGTGTGTGTGTGTGTGTGTCTATTAAGTCAGATGAAGCCTATTACCAAGACATAGCTCATCTGTGTGTTTTCACTCTTTTGTTTGTTAATCCTCACACACAATATTTCCCATTGATTTTTAGAGGGAGTGGAAGGGAGGTGGACAGCAGTGTGAAAGACATTGATTGGTTGCCTCCACACGGGCCCCTGACCCGGGCTGGGGATCAGAGCCGCAGCCCAGGGACATGCCCTTGACCAGGAATTGGACCTGTGACCCTTTGGTCCACTGGCCAGTGCTCTAACAAGTGAGCAACACCATCTAGTTAGCTTTTAGCTTTTTTTTGTTTTAATTCTCACCTGAGGACATTTTTCCAGATTTTTAGTGAGTCGAAGAGAGCGGGAAAGATAGAGAGAAACTTCTATGTGAGAGAAACACTTAGATTGGTTGCCTCCCACATGCACCCCGACCAAGGCCTGGGCCGGGGAGGAGCCAGCAACCGAAGTTAGTGCCCTCAACCAAAATTGAACCCAGAACCCTTCAGTCTGCAAGGGTCCACTGAGCCCCTCTGTCCACCCCTCTGTCCACTGAGCCACACCAGCTGGAGCTCTTTTCACTCTTGATGTGGCTCACGTCCATTGTGCTGGGCGTTGCTGAGGGAGAGCTCTGAGCAGGGTGACGGAGTGGACAGGCAGGTGGCGGGTGTCCAGATGGCCTGGGAGTCACCGGTGAGAGCTGGTGCCGAGGCTCGCTGGTAGGCAGTGAGACAGGGAAGAGAAGAGACCACCTCTGGGTAGGCAGTGCCCCAGGGGTTCCGGGAAGGCTTGCCTGGAAGAAGAGCGCCTTTGGGCCTGGGCGAGGGGTGAGTGCTGCCTGGGAATTCTCGGGTTATTCGGGTCTGTCGTGTCGCCCAGTGTCCATGATGCATCAGCAGGCTGCCTCGTCCCACTACAACTCGGCGCAGGGCGGGAGCCAGCACTACCAGGGCCAGCCCATCGCCATGATGGGCCAGAGCGGGCAGGGGAGCAGCATGATGGGACAGCGGCCCATGGCACCTTACCGGCCCTCCCAGCAAGGTACCACCATGCACCCGCAGTCCATGTTCTCCCTTCCAGGGCTGGGAGGGCGGGTGTGTGTGTGTGTGTGTGTGTGTGACGCCGCACGTTTTTGGTGTTGCACAAGGAGGGTGCCATGAGTGTGTGTGTGTGTGTGTGAGAGACACCACACGTTTTTGGTGCTGCACAAGGAGGGTGCCGTGAGAGTGTGTGTGTGTGTGTGTGTGTGACGCCACACGTTTTTGGTGTTGCACAAGGAGAGTGCCATGAGTGTGTGTGTGTGTGTGTGTGTGTGAGACACCACACGTTTTTGGTGCTGCACAAGGGGGTGCCGTGAGAGTGTGTGTGTGTGTGTGTGTGTGTGTGTGTGTGTGTGTGTGAGACACCACACATATTTGGTGTTGCACAAGGAGGGTGCCTTGGGTGTGGAGGGCTGCGTGTGGGGCAGTGCGTGGTACCCCCAGCGGCAGTGTGGTGGGGCGTCTTTATGTGTGGCCCGTCGAGGTGGTGTGGGGTGTTCGCTCACAGCCCGCCTGCCCGCAGGCTCGTCGCAGCAGTACCTGGGCCAGGAGGAGTACTACGGGAGCGAGCAGTACGGCCATGGCCAGGCGGCCTCGGAGCCGCTCAGCCAGCAGTACTACGCTGATGGTGAGCCCCGGCACGCCTCCGCCCACCCGCCCTTCACACCGCCCACCCGGCATCCGGGCCCTGTGCCTGAGTGACGGCACCTGTCACGGCCACTCGCCTCCATGGCTGCTGGTCCCTTCCCCAGAGACAGCGAAGCGGGGCAGCTGGGGGACACCGGCAGGTAGCTGAGGCTGCTCCAGGGGAGGGCGCAGTGGCCTGGGAACTGCCTCCAGGAAGGTGATGGGCCGGCCACTGTCATGTCTGTGACACTCGGCTCCCAGCTGTCAGTCTGTTCCCGCCGAAGGTCTTCCTCTTCACCGTCCTCTCAGTAGTCCCGGTGTGGCAGGTGGCATTACGGGGTCGGAGGGGATGGCTGGGGAGGACTCCCAGACAGCAAGCCGGCAGGATCGGGTTGGGGTAGCGGAGACTAGCACGGGGCTAGCCAGGCTCGCCATATAGCGTGAAGGTCTGCGGGGCACAGCACCCCAGATGGGATCCCCCATAGCAGACGGCGGATCTGGTGCCAACAGCCATGGTGCCTGCCAAGACTGAATGTAGTCAGTCCTCAGGGCACCAAGGGCTGTGTAGCCATCTGCGTTTTACTTACAGGGACCATCAGTGGGCTCCGTCATGGGCTCCATCTCTGGGGAGCTGATTGTGCCCGGCTCTGGCCGCCACCCCACCCCAGGGCACTGCCCGCCCCTGGTCTGGTGAGTAAGTCCCTGACTGCCAGCCGTCCGTCTGCTTGCAGGGCACAGCGATTATGCCTATCAGCAGACGTCCTACTCAGAGCAGAGCTACGACCGGTCCTTCGAGGAGTCCACGCAGCACTACTATGAGGGCGGTAAGCACAGCACCACGCGGGAGGGTGATGCACCCTCACTGAGATGCTGGTTCGCGGGCACCCGGCATGCTCAGAGCAAGGCCAAGGCTCTGTGGGGCCACATCGACTTCTGGAAGTGGGTGGGCAGGCGAGGTCCTGCTCGCCTAGTGTGGTCATACAACAGGAGGCTGGCCACGGGGGCAGGGAACCAGGCTCTGCTCTATGACAGGCTGTGTGTGCAGAGCAGCCCCCAAATGCTGGATTTGCGAAGAGACCGAAGAGAAGGCAGACGAGGCCAGCTGAGGGTCAGTGGTTTCACAGGGTGCTACATGCAGGGACAGGTCCTGGATGGCTGCAGGGTGTTCAGATCTTTTCACCCCGTACCCTTTACCCCAGTCCACCCACTTGATGCCCCTGGAGATGGAACCACAGGTCAGGAAAGCAGTGTAGAGGGTCAGAACCAGGAAGCCAGGTTCCGGAGGCCCTGGCACCAGGATGACCCAAGAGGTAGACGGCTGAGGGATCTGCAGCCCGAGTGTAGCGCCTACCCGTCCCTGCTGCAGACACCGCTGCCTTCAGGCCACCAGCGTGACTCTCCAGACGTGGATTTGGGAGGAAATACTTGAGTTGGTTCTCGGGTGGGTGCCCGCTGCCCACTGCCTGGCCCCGTGGAGGAAAGGCCCAGGTGCCATCTCACCCCTGAGAGAGGAAAAGCAGTGAACTCCCAGGGGGTGCGGCCTGGTCTGGTGGGTAAGTGCCAGGCTTCCTGCTCCGGAAGTCAGAGTGGGGAAACGAGGCTCCTGACAGCCCCGACAACAGCAGAAATCACCCGCGTCTCCTCCACTCTGCAGGGAACTCCCAGTACAGCCAGCAGCAGGCGGGCTACCAGCAGGGCACAGCCCAGCAGCAGGCAGGGTACCAGCAGCAGTACCCGAATCAGCAGAGCTACCCGGGCCAGCAGCCAGGCTACGGTAAGAGGGCGCCCAGCCCGCGCCCCTGCACTCTGACGGGTGGTTTAGGGTTTATTGTGGGAAAGCTGCGAGGAGAGAGAGTCCTGTTGTCGTTGTCAGTCACACTAAGAGCCATGTCGGCCCACAGTTGCAGTCCTAGCCCACGGGCTCAGACCTCACCGGCTTCCCGGAATGTCCTTCCTGGCCGGTACCCGCTGGGCCCACATTCTCCCCGCTCCTCTGGGCTCCGACTTTCTCTTTGTTTTTTGTTGTGTTTTTTTTTCGTTTTGTTTTTTAAATCCTCACTCGTGGATATGTGTTTTTTTATTTTTATTTTAGAGAGAAGGGAGAGAGAGAGAGAGAGAGAGAAACATTGATATGAGAGAGAAACAGCAATTGATTACCTCCTATACTCGTCCTGACGTCCTGACCGATAATCGAACCCAAAACCTAGGTGTGTGCCCTGACCGGACCCACACCCGCAACCTGTCCTTGGTGTGCGGAGCGATGCTGCAGCCAGCCCGCCCACCTGCTCTCCTCTTCCCGCCGGGCGGCTGTGAGGCGGGCCAGCAGGGACTGTTCAGTGTGTCCCTCAGGCTGGGTTTGTCTGATGTTTTCTCAGGACGAGACTGGCCTGTGGGCTTTGGAAAGACCATGGAGGTGAGGTGCCCTTGTCACCTCCTGTCAGCATGACGCCTCCGATGCTGATCTCGGTCTCTGGGGTCAGGGGGCATCTGCCAGTTACAGCTGCTTCCTCCCCCTTCTGTAATATTTGGAAGTGAGTCCCCAAGTGCAGCCCACACTCTAGGGGGTTCTGCATGGATTATTTGGCATCCTGTCGGGAAGGTCTGTCCCCTCCACTGAGCCATTAATCACCATTTATATACAAAGACGACTTCATGATCAGGCCTCGGGGGCACTTTATTTTTAGTTAAAACAGAAATGTCACAAAAATCAGTCGGAGAAAATGCAAAAAAAAAAAAAAAAAAAAAAAAAAAGAATTTGTAAATATAAATAATTCTATGTAGCACATTCTCAGACTATAGCGAAGTAACACTCAAACTATAACAAGGCCAGGCTAGCATAGCTAGGTTGAGCATCGATCCAGGAGCCAAGAGGTCACTAGTTCAATTTCCTGTCAGGGCACATGCCTGGGTTCTGGACTCTATCTCCAGTGCAGGAGGCAGCCGATCGATGACTTTCATCATGGATGTTTCTATCTCTTCCTTCCTCTCTGAAATTAGTATTTTTTAAAAGTAGTTCACACACACACACACACACACACATACACACACACACACAGTAAGAATGGAACTAAGTAGTGAACAACAATGTAGAATGTTTAAAATTCTCTTAAGTTACACCCAAGGATCAGAGAAGAAATGCTATACAAAAATTACAGAATATTTTATAATGGAAACATAAAGAATTTCATAATATATGAAATGCTGCCATGTAAATGCCTGTGAGAGAGTGAGAGAAATATAACAAACTAAATCTCTAAATCCCTTTAAAGGGAAAGCAACCCCCAAAATATAGAAATAGAAAAGCCAGATAAAAATCAACAAAACAGCCCTAACTGCTTTGGCTCAGTGGATAGAGCATCAGCCTGCAGACTGAAGGTCCCAAGTCCGATTCCGGTCAAGGGCATGTACCTTGGTTGCGGGCACATCCCTAGTAGGGGACGTGCAGGAGACGGCTGATCAATGTTTCTCTCTCATTGATGTTTCTAACTCTCCCTCTCTCTTCCTCTCTGTAAAAAATCAATAAAATATATTTTTAAAATAATCAACAAAACAGAAAGAAGTCGTTATTTGTATTAGATGACGTGGATGTTGGTCTCACGTTGGGCTGTAATTCCGTGCTTATTCATTTTGTGTCCATGCCATCGCAGCGCTGGCTGCGGTGCCTGTGCTTTATTTTATGAGCACTTGCTTACTTCCGAGCCCACAATGCTGCCTCCCACAGCTGGTCTGAGCTCTCCCAGAGCTTAGTGTCCACTGTCTGCACATGTGCTCACTGGTTGCTGTGAGTGCATGTGGACCACAGGGACCACCATGACGTGAAGCTCTCGGGGCAGCAGGCGACGACGTACTGGACAGCAGCTCAGCCAGCTGAGCGCACTTGCTACAGACTTGCCCAGGAGGCCTGGGTCTGCTGTCTGGAGCCTTCCAGGGGACTGGGCGTGGTGGGATGGCTCACCACAGCTGGTGTGTCCCCAGGGCCGGCCCAGGGAGCCCCCTCACAGTATTCCAGCTACCAGCAAGGACAAGGCCAACAGTACGGGAGCTATAGGACGTCGCAGACTGGCCCGTCCGCGCAGCAGCAGCGGCCGTACGGCTATGAGCAGGCAAGCTTTCTGGATGTTTCCCCACACGTAGGTCTGCATGTCTGTCAAAACATAACAGGTTCTTCTGTGGTCACAAATAATGAGGTGAACCAGCCGTCTTCCAGGCACTGTAAGGTTTTAAAAATTACCTGGTCAGACAGCTGGCTTTGTGCATGCTCAGCTCACTCAGGGTCTGGCGTTCTCTCCTGCCTCGGAGGCTCACGTGTGCCCTCTCTGCGTGCAGGAGACACGGCAACTAGACACAGGTGGCCACACTTGTAGAGCTTGGGTCTCATCCCACAGAGCTGGCTGCTTGTGGGCAGGAAGGAGCCGGGCAGATAGTGCTGGAAGAGGACCTGGGGGCCGAAGGCTGGCTCAGACCACCATAAGGCCCTCTGCTGGGAAAGCCAGTGGCTGCCCTGCCCACTTGTTTGCCTGTTACACCTCCTTCCTGTCTCATCCTGCACAGTGGCTGGGCGGGCCTTGTGCGTGTGCCTGGGAGTAATCTCTGTCCTGGTCTCTTGCAGGGCCAGTATGGGAATTACCAGCAGTAAGGACAGCATTCTTGTGGAGCCTTGCAGCGGTGTGTCCATTCGGCGTGGACGGACCTGTGGCGGTTCTGACAGACTGTGGCCCATCAGTTCCCCCTTTGCCCCACATGTGTCGCATGTGAAGTGTGCACATTTCATGCTGGGTATGACACCGAGTGTGCCAGAGGCTTGGGACTGCACACCGATGGTGTGATCTACCTGGTGCTGAGGATGACCACGTGGTGAATGGAGACGTTGATGTTTCTAGCTAGCTTTAGGGTGCTCTTGCCGTCAGAGTATTCTGTGCCCAGCGATGGAAATCTATCAGATGCCATAGTCAATGTGTCATGTAAACAGATCGTAGGTCCAGCTCTCCTCACGCAGGGTCACATGGGTTATAAAACTGTCTCACTGGGACCCCGCAGCTGGACGTGCTCACACAACCCTGGGTGCAGCCTCTTCCCGGCCTCAGTGGGGAGGGGCTTTGTCTGTGTTTTGGGTCTGTTTCTTTTAAAGGCTGCGTATGTTTCATGTGGAGAAGCTGCGAACAGCCAGGTACCTCTCGGAGCTCATTACCTATGTCTCTCACTGAGTCCATCTACCCAAAAAGTGACCTGCTCTCCTTTTAAAGTGTGAAGCGGGGTCAGTGACTGCTGCAGATACGAGTCTATGCAGGCAGCCATCTTTAGCCTAACCCCAAGAGGCAGTGCCAGCGGGCAGAGGAGCTTCTCTGGCATGGCTTGGGCTCCAGCCCATGTTTACCTGATGGTCATTTTGGGGGTTTGAGTATTAAATGTGCCCCATTCTAAATTTATAGCTTAAAATACTGATACCAAGTTTTCCACACAGTTGGCAAGATGTTTGTTTTGTTATTTCTTCCGGGACCTGCTTGTTTAGGTCTCCAAGCAAGCGTTCCTCTTCTTATAGGGACGTCTGAAATGTACACCTCATTTTAAAAAGAACCCCACTGAAGGTATTGTGGTGTTCCTGGTGAAAAGGAAAGTTTTTACACAGAGAAATGTGAATAATTTTTACGTTCCCAGGATGTTAAATCCTATTTAAATTCTGGGCAAGTATTACTGATAGCTCACTTGGAAAAGTCTGGTCAGAGAAAAAAAAAATCCTACATTTCACTAAGTAATACTGACATTTTATCAATCTTAACTTGGGTGATACCTGCTTTTACTGTGAATTCTTTAAAAACATCTTTGGGTGAATGCTGACATTTCCAAGAACAACCAAGAAAATACAAAAAATATCCAATTCTTGATATATCAGCTATACTAAGATAGAAGCGTTTATTTTAGAGGTATATTGGTTTTAAAAACCCTAAACACTTGTAAGGGCTTAAAAATATATATCTATATTAAATGGCTGAGATGAGAATTCTTATTTGGTAAATGACACAGAGATTAGTAGTGTCATCTCCCTTGATTTTGTTTTGTTCTTCCCTGACAGTTGTCATAGAAATAATTTGTAGACTCAATCAGGAACTAAAATTTCCCATTGAAAATGTTAAACATTTTAGATAACAGTGAAACTAGGTTATTTTTACTTCTTGCCATCCTGGGAATATGCCTTTTATGTGTGTAGGTTGGCTTTTTTTAAATGAACACTTTTTTGAACGAAAAGGACACTTGAAAGTTATCCTGAAACTTCAAACTGAAATGTCTTACATTAAGAATTTCTTGAATGTTGTGTATATATTTTAAAAAGCACTTTGTGAAATAGTTTGTACATTTATTTCCTTATTTATACATGATTTTTGGTGTTAATATATTTAAGGAGTAATAACAGAATGTTTATTTAATGCAGGAGTGGGGAACGTCTGACCCGAGGGCTGTATAAGGTCCGAGAAATCATTGGGTCTGGCCCTGCCAAGGCAATCAGGGGGGAGTTAATTAAATGTTTGACCAAATAGAGCAGGCTGATTTTTAAGTTGATAATTTTGCATGGCCTGTGAATGATGTTATAAATACCCAGATGGCCATTGGCAGGAAAAAGGTTCCCACCCCTCGTTTAATGTGTGGTCTGTGTTTATGTGACATTGTAGAGAAAAAGTGATGCCAGCAATTCGTTGTCGTTAGCTGTGTAATATTTTCTCTTCTGTGATGTGAATGTTTGCAAAAATTAGGCTAAAATGAACTGTCTGTGCAGTGTGGTGGGCGGGCTTTGTTTTTATGACTACTTCTGCAGGTCAGTGCGAGGCAGAGGGAGACGTGGGAATGGGTGCCGTTCCTGCCTCCTGTTGTTCCTGACACCCAGCAGGTCTTGAACTTGAAAAATGACCCCAGTTTTCAGAAGTGCTGACAAATTCATATTGGTGTGCAAAAGCTCAGCACCCATTGGGGAACCACAGGTGCTGAAAGTACTTGGAACTCATGTGGAGAATCGGGGGCCTCACATCGAGGTATGCATGGTCTCCAGGGATGCCTTCCTGTGCTCCTGCTGTTAGAGCCTAAGTGGGCCTCGGAGTTTGCCAACGTATATATGTATTTGAATATTGGGCACCCGCTCAGAATTGCACAAAATGGAAGACCATTTTCATTTCCATTTTAAAATGTTTAGCCATTACTTCATTTCTACTTATTGAACAGGTCAAACTCATCTGTGAGCACAGAACTTTTTCAGAGATCATCCTTATTGTGTGTTTTTTTCCAGCCGGCAGAGTTTGGTGTATAAATTGTTTATGCTTTTGGTGTAATTAATAAACTGTTTCTTCAAAAGCCACTCTAAAAAGTGAGTTTTCATAACGTTAATGGGATGCTCCGTGACTTGTAGCTGGACCGAGGCATCTGTCTCCATGCTGAGTCACCTTCCTGGGAAACCTGTTACCTGGGTGCTGTCCAGCAGGCACCTCCGGGCAGGCTGTCCTGTAAGGTCTGACAACCACGGCGGCAGGGAGCTGACCCAGGACACTGTCGCATTGTCCCCTACAACGCGGACCCCTCCTGGGAGCTCCGGCCGGTGGTCAGACGGAGGAGGATGCTCAGAGAGTGAAGGTCGGGTATGCGATGGGAGGGCGGTGAGGTCACCGGAGACCACACCCAGATGAGACGACAGAGAAGGTAGAGACCGGCTGGTGGGCCGGGGTCCTGAGCAGGTGCCTGAGGCTGAGGGACGCCGCTCCGCGCCGGCGGCGGGACGCGCGCGGGGAGGCGCTGCGCGTGCGCAGTCCAGGCCGGCCCCCGGAAGGAATTCGCGCGGCCGCGGCCGCGGCCCCGGAAGTGACGGCCCTCCCGAGTAGGTGAGTGCGTGCCCAGCGGCCGCTACCTCGGGAGCCGTGGCCGGGGGCGCCGGGAGGAGGGAGGAGGCCGCGAGCGGGACCGCGGCGCCGAGCAGGCGACCCTCCAGCCGCGGCGGGACGGCCGCCGGGCGTGAGCGCGGCCCTGGGAGCCGGGCGGGCGGCGGGGCGCACGTGCGCCCGAGCGACCGGTCAGCGGGGCCTGCGCCGGCCCGCTCCGTCCCCGCGGTCAGGCACGTTTAAGGAGCTCAGCTGGTCTCTTTGGCGCACGCACCTGAATACCAAACATGGGCCTCTGGGTGCTTCTTTGTATGGTTGTGGCACAGAACAACGTCAGCAGCACCGGTTCTAGGAAACTTTTCATTACATTCTCGTTGCAAGGGCGGTTTTCCATGAACTCCCTTACCGCGGCCGCCCGGGCGGGGGGAGCGGTGCAGTTCCGCTCTGCGGCCGTGGGCGGCGGTCTCGTGCTCACCCCGCGGGCAGGCGGGGACCGGGCGTGCCGGAGGCGGTGCCTTTGTTTTGTGAAGGAGAGGAGCCCGCGGAAAGGAGGAAGGGGAGGCAGAACGCTATTCTAAATGCAAATGTGCTCTCAGACCTGTGTAAGCAAAAGCTGAGAAGCGGAACACTGGTTCCTTTGAAGTTACCTTGGGAAATGGCCGTGTGTGCATACTTCATTTTGAAGATCCCTGCTGTGAGTACAGGCCCAGCGCCCTGCCCGTGAGGCCAGAGGTCACTAACTTTGGGCAAGTCGCGTCACCCCTGAGCCCCAGCCTCTCCCGCTTTAAAACTGGCATTAAAAATGTAAGCTCAGGAATCACGGCCCCATCACATTGGATAACTTAAGGAGGCTTATAAAGGGAGAGGAGGGAAACGGCAGAGGTGGTGTTTCAACCTGGAGCAGTGACATTGGAGTTGCTTCCACCACTAGACGCCAAGGCAGAAGGGGCCGGGCAGTTACCGGAGACAGCAGGGATTGAAGGGGGGCAGGGAAGTCACCCCGCTGGCCTCCTGCTCCTCTAGTCTCTGCCAGAGACCAGGGCAGCCAAGGGCAGGTCCCTGAAGCAGCAGGATGGGAAGTGGGTCTGGAAACCCAAACAGGGTCCCCACTCATACAGTTGTTGTAAGGAATAAATATGGAAATTTCCATACAACAAGGTTTAGCAGAGGTTTCCATGGCCCAGTAGAACTGAACTTCACACTTTAGGGAACAAAGTAGTTATATCTGAAGCGTAGCCCTTGCTGAGTGGACTCCCCAGTCTTCCTTCAAAAAAAAAAAAAAAAAAAGTTTTCTTCATTTCAGAGAGAAGAAGGGAGGGGGACCCTGCAAGGGATAGAAAGAAACATCAGTGATGAGAGAACCAGCTGCCTCCTGCACATCCTTTACTGGGCTGAGCCTGCGGCGGCCTCTGCCCTGACAGGAGTGGTCGTCGATCGACAGTCACTGAGCCACCTCAGCTGGCGCTGAGTGTTTCTGAAGCCTCACCCTGGGATCAGAGTTGGTCCAGCTTGGATCAGGGCTTTTGTACACAGTCTCATCTTTTGTACTCTGCCCCCCTGGCCCATCGGTGCTGTTCGGTTTGGCACCCACCGGGTGCTTGGAATGTGGCTTGAATGACAGCTTTTACATTTTCAAGTTTTTAAATTGATTTAAAGTTAGTAGCCACATGTGGCCAATGGGTAGCTTCCTGGATAGCACAGGTACAACATTAGAAGGAAAATGAAGCCGAGACCGGTTTGGCTCAGTGAAAAGAGCGTCGTTTCTGCGGACTGAAGGGCCCCAGGTTCGATTCCGGTCAAGGGCATATACATTGGTTGTGGGCACATTCCCGGTAAGAGGCAGCTAGTGGATGATTCTCTCTTATTGATGTTTCTAACTCTCTATCCCTCTCCCTTCCTCTCTGCAAAAAGTCAATAAAATATATTTTTTTTTTTTAAAGAAGGAAAATGAAGACCAAGTACAGTGTGAGACACAGCTGAATGGCTCACCTGGCAAGTACTGGTTCATGGGGTTTTCCAAACAAATGGAAGGGCTGAAAGGGGATGAACTTCCAATGAGACCAGGCTGGGCGGCCAGGCTTCCGGTTGGCTTTGCCACACTTCCCCTCTGCAGTTCACCTTCAGGTGTCGTCGCCAGGGCAGGGAAGCCTGGTTCCGCCACCTCGGCACAGATGGCATCACTTGCCAGCGGGCTTAGCTGCATGCAGGGTTGGTGATCAGTGAGTTATTATTTTTTCTTTAACAACCTGTTTTCAACTCCACTTGTGCCTATCCCAGCTCACAGCACTAGGCTGGCGTAGGTCATTTCACCTTATCTCAGTCTCCTCGTTTTCTTACAGAATTGCTGTGAGGACTAGATGACCCAATTCCTGAAAGGCTCCAACAATAGAATCCCGCAGATAGCGAGGCAGGCGTTTCTAATGTTTATCACTGAACTTATATCCGGAACTTTCTGTAACTAGTGTTACCGCTTGTATATAAGAATACAATTGACTTTTGTGTGTTAACCTTATAACCTGCAACCTTTCTTGGTTCATTTATGAATGCTAATCAGATTTTGTAGATTTCTATGGAAATAACCAGACCTTCTATATTTTGTCTTTTTAAAAAAAAAAAAATTCTTTATTGCAGCCCTGGCCGATATGACTTAGTCATCTGAGTGTCATCCTGTGCTGAGAGGTCCGGGGTTGATTCCTTGTTAGGGCACATGCTAGGGTGTGGGCTTGATCCCCAGTAGGGGGCGTGCAGGAAGCAGCCAACTGATGTTCCTCTCCCTCTCTAAAATCAGTAACAAAATATTTTAAAAAGAAAGTAATTCCTTTGAAAACTTCTTTATTACAGTGTCTAAAAGACAGTGTCGCACAGAATGGGTAGGCAAGGGCATCCGTGCCATCTCCTCCCGGGCGAGCAGCTCAGTCTTTCTCCAGTCATCGTGGTGTTGGCTGTGGCTTCTGCCGTCCCCTTCCATTCCCAGTTACATCCCAGTTCCCTGCTTGGGTGTCGGTGACCTTTACCAGATGGTGTGACAGTCAGTGTGGCATCCACTGCTGATGACACCTTATGTCCCAGCGGTCACCTGCTTGGCCCTGTGGTTGATGTGCAGGCACAGCTGGACACAACGCTGTCGAGATTGGGTGCCTCTGTTCTTGATCGTTTCCTTTCTGTGTGTCACATCTGGGGACTGGGGTTTCCTGGCCGCAGGCCATGGCTTGGGTACCGTCTCACTCTCCTGTTGCCTGAGAAAGTTCATGTGAGATTGCTGTGACTACTTCTGGGATGTCTGATGGAGTTTACCGGAAAGCTGCCTGAGTCTGGAGTTATGTTACAGAGAATGTTCTTTAATAACACATTGGACTCCTTTAGTAGTTACGGGTAATTGACATTTTCTGTTCTCTGTTTTCTTTGTGGGTTTTTGGTGTTGTTTTTATTTCTTCTTGTATCTTTGTGCATCTTTTAGGAACATGCTGAGTTTGAGGCACAAGTGGTTCCTTGGTGTTCTCTTGCCCTTTGATGCCTGTAGGACTCAAGCGGGTGGCTTTTTGTTGCTTGTTAATCCTCATCCAAAGATATTATTTTTTCTATTGATTTCTAATTTTTTAAATTGATTTTTTACAGAGGAAGGGAGAGTTAGAAACATCAATGAGAGAGAAACATCAATCAGCTGCCACTGGGGGTTTGCCCACAACTGCAGTACATGCCCTTGACCGCAGGCCAACGTTCCATCCACTGAGCCAAACTGATTCAGGGCATGTTTTTTTCCATTGATTTTTAGAGAGAGTGGGAGGGAGGAGGGAAAGAAAAAGAAAAACATCAGTGTGAGATAGTTTGTACATTTATAACATGGAATTGGTTGCCTCTGCAGGAGATCAAACTCGCAATCCAGGTATGTGCCCTGTCCTTGACCAGGAATCAAACCCAAAACCCTTTGATGCGCAGGCCGATGCTCTAATCACTTAGCCACACCAGCCAGGGCTCGGTGACACTTTTTATGTTCCTGGCCATGTGGTTTGTGTTCTTTTACTTCCTTAAATCCCTCTAGCATGTGGGGTTTGTCCACTCTGCTTATATTTTATTTATCTATTTACTTTTATTGTGTGTGTGTTAATCCTCACCTGAGGATTTCCATTGATTTTTAAAAATATATATTTTTAATTGATTTTAGAGAGGAAAGAAGAGGGAGAGAGACATAGAAACATCAATGATGAGGAAAAATCATTGATTACCTGCCTCCTGCATAACCCCCATTGGGGATGGAGTCCGCAACCTGGGCATGTGCCCTGAACAGAAATTGAACCTGGGACCCTTCAGTCTCCCAGCTGAAGCTCCATGCACTGAACCAAACCGCCTAGGGCTAGTGTTTATTGTTACTAGAGGCCCGATGTACGAAATTTGTGCAAGAGTAAGCCTTCCTTACCCTGGCTGCCAGCACCAGGTGCCCTCCGGCACCTGGGACCCGACCTAGGCTTCCATCTGGTTGCCAACAGGTACCTGGGAGCCAGGCTTCCCTCGCAGCCCCTGCTTCGTTGGGCAGGTCGTCTGTGAGGACGGTCAGTCTAATTAGCATATTATGCTATTATTATAATAGAAGGCTAGGTTTCATACCATTAATTCATTTAATCCTCACAATCCTACAAGGTTAAGTACCAGTTATGATCCCCATTTTGCAAAGAACGGAAGCACAAGCACGTCCTCCCGTCAGCTGTGCGCCGGGCATCATCATGTTTTCTAGGGCCGCTGTGACCAGGAGCCAGACCTTTGTTCTCTCCTGGTCTGGATGTCAGGGGCCCCAAGTCAGGTGTCAGCAGGGCCATGCTCCCTTTAAGACTCTGGGCAGAGCCAAAACCGGTTTGGCTCTATGGATAGAGCGTTGGCTTGGGGACTGAAGGGTCCCGGGTTCGATTCCGGTCAAGGGCATGTACTTTGGTTGCGGGCACATCTGTCTCATTGATGTTTCTATCTATCCATCTCTCTCTAAAAATCAATAAAAATAGCCAAAACGGTTTGGCTCAATGGATAGAGCATCGGCTTGGGGACTGAAAGGTCCCGGGTTCGATTCCGGTCAAGGGCATGTACCTTGGTTGCGGGCATATCCCCAGTAGGGGGTGTGCAAGAGGCAGCTGATTGATGACTCTCTCTCATCGATGTTTCTAACTATCTCCCTTCCTCTCTGTACAAAATCAATAAAAATATATATTTAAAAATAATAATAAAAAAATAAAAATAAAAATCAATAAAAATAAATTGTTCAAAAATAGAATTGGTTCTCTCTCTTTTTTTTAAATGTTGCCTGGACAATATGGCTCAGTCATTGAACATTGACCTAGGAGACAGCTGATTGGTGATTCTCATCTTTGATGTTTCTATCTCCCTCTTCCCCTTTCTCTCTGAAATTAATAAAAATATATTTTAAAAAAAGAAATGTTAAGCCCTGGTTGGTTTGGCTCAGTGGATAGAGCGTCGGCCTGCACACTGAAAGGTCCCAGGTTTGATTCCAGTCAAGGACATGTATCCTGGTTGCGGGCACGCCCTCAGTGGGAGGTGTGCAGGAGGCAGCTGATTGATGTTTCTCTCATCGATGTTTCTGACTCTCTATCCCTCTCCCTTCCTCTCTGTAAAAAAATCAATAAAATATATATATATATTTTATTTATTTTTTAAATATATAGTTTATTGATTTTTTACAGAGAGGAAGGGAGAGAGATAGAGAGCTAGAAATGTCGAAGAGAGAGAAACATCGACCCAGCTGCCTCTTGCACACCCCCTACCGGGGATGTGCCCGCAACCAATGTACATGCCCTTGACCAGAATCGAACCTGGGACCCTTCAGTCCGCAGACCAATGCTCTACCGCTGAGCCAAACCGGTTTTGGCAAAATATATATATATTTTAAATGTTAAATGGAAATTTCAGAAATAAACAGTTTGTAAGTTTAAATTGCAACGTGTTCTGAGCAGTGTGATGAAATATTTTGCTGTAGTTTCTTTCTGCCCCACCCCCTTTTCTAGCTCCCCACTCCCCATTAGTCACTTAGTAGCCACCTTAGTTATCACAGAGACAGACACCACCAGAACCACATCACATGACCTTATTACAGCATTTTGTTACAGTGGTTCTATTTTATCTGTATTGTTATTAATCCATACTGTGTCTAATTTAGTAATTGAACTTTATCATAGGTACGTGTGTGTGTGTGTGTGTGTGTGTGTGTGTGTATATATATATATATATATATATATATATGAAGAAACAATAGTATCTATAGGGTTTGGTACTATCCAAGGATCAGGTGTCCCCATGGTTGGGGAGGAGGGACAACTGTGAGCACTACATTACCTGCATCCCATAAACTTCAGTCACTCGGGTCAAAATATTTTGATTTTGACTTATTCTACCTGTTGGCTTAGTTCGAAGAGCTGTTTCATTTCCAGGTTGACATTTAAGCTGCACAAGATAAGAGCACAGCATTTGCGTAAATGGGTGCTTTAATTTTTTCAGTAATTTTTATTTTAGGCTCCGATTTCCTGTCATAGTTTCATTTAGCAGATACTGCATTCGATGGGGGAGTGTTTCCAGGGTCGAGAGAGGTTTGATGACATTCCCTGTGTACACAAACCTTGCCCCAGGTAGCATGTAAGCCAACGGGTCACATGACTCCTCGTGACTCGGGGTCCAGCATGGCAAGTGAGGGGAGAAAGTCATAGCCCGCAGTTTACTTATTTGTTCCAAAAACACGCTGAGATTTTAGTTTGTTTGACGTCATATGTAAACCAGGGGCTTATTTAGCCAATGTGGCTTTTGTTAGGGAGCCATGATGTCTGGGAAGCTGTTCTCTGCAAGACCACGGTGCGTGCTGGAGGGCCTGGGGTGCTGGACTCAGGCCCCACGGGCAGCCCTGGGCCGGCTCCCCCTGCAGCACACCGCTCCCCGGCTGCTCTCGCTCAGTTCTGCGGACAGCGCCAAGGAACCCTCCAGAAAGAAACTGCTCTCCGAGAAAAAACTGGTGAGACTTCTGACGGGGAGGGAACTTACGGAAGCTTCCTCTCACAGGCATTATGAGTTCTTGTTGTCATGTCTTCATCTGTCCTGTTGTCTGATTGAAGGGACACAGGTAGCACTTGAAAATGATAAAACTTAGGTAAAACATGAACGAGGAAAAACAAACAGGAGTGGGCTTTACTTTAATTCACAAGATGCCCATCTCCTTTCCTCCTAATGGTCTCCAGGCCAGCAGAACTGCCTTGGAGAAGCGCCGGTGCTCAGAGCCATGTCCGTAGCACCATCTTTGCCCAGCGGGGAAATGGAGCCAGGCTTTACCTCCAGTGCTCGTCAGTGTGCATGTTTTTATTGACTTCAGAGAGGACGGGAGAGGGAGAGAGATGGAAACATCAGTGATGAGAGAGAATCATTGATTGGCTGCCTCCTGCATGCCTCCCACTGTAGATCAAGCCCACAGCACAGGCATGTGCCCTGACTTGCAGTTGAACCATGACCTCCTGGTTCATAGGTCGATGCTCAACCACAGCCACACCAGCTTGCCATCCATTGGATGATTTTAATGTTGGCATACAGCAAAATTATATGCTAAGTTTTTAAAAGAGTAATTCATGTTTTTTCTATGTGTGGTAATCTGTGTTGCCCTAACCGGTTTGGCTCAGTGGATAGAGCGTCGGCCTGCGGACTCAAGGGTCCCAGGTTTGATTCTGGTCAAGGGCATGTACCTTGGTTGCAGGCACATTACCAGTAGGGAGTGTTCAGGCGGCAGCTGATTGATGTTTCTCTCTCATCAATGTTTCTAGCTCTATCCCTCTCCTTTCTTCTCTGGAAAAAAATCAATAAAATACATATTTTTAAAAACCAAACTGTGCATCAGGTGGAGGGACCCACCTGGCCAATCTCTGCACACAGTGCACAGAGCAGGTGGACTCCCGGACTGGACGGCCTGCGGGGGGCCTCGGTGCCTCGCCCTGGCTTCTCGGGTAGCTGAACTTGTTGTTGGAACCAATAGCTATTCAGCAGTCACCTGCTTGGCTTCAGTGCTTTAGCTGAAGAGACCTGGAGAGAAACACCCTCCCGTCGGCGCGCTCTGCATCGCTGAGCCTACAAAGGAGCCCTGTTCGGTCAGGCCCAGAAGATGCCCTTTATGATGTGCTTCTGTTTGAAGAAGCTGAGACGACGTTGTTTCAGGAATGTTTTCTAAACAACCCTGTTTCCTCCAGTTGGGCACGTGGAGTCTGTCATTGAGTGTGTTTTCCTTACCGTCCACTCTCACGTCTGCCGGGCTGTTTCTTAGATTTGCACTTTAGGAGAGGTTAGTGATGGTAGCATCATTGGCCTCTAATTTTAAAGCACACGCAGGGAGGAGAGGCGCTCCAGGAGCTGCTGGTTAGAGGATGCAGCATTTGTGACGAACCGGATCTGTGCTCTCTGCAGAAAAGCCATTTCGTGGACCATCGCCGGGTGCTTGTCCGAGGGGGACGCGGAGGCGACGGGGTGAGCTGCTTCCACAGTGAGCCCCGGAAGGAGTTTGGGGGTCCCGATGGTGGCGACGGAGGCAGCGGTGGCCACGTCATCCTGAAAGGCAGGCGCTCTGGGGCAGCTGGGCAGAACCACTGTGTCTGCACATGTTGGGGCAGGAGTTTCCACCTCATCCTGAGAGGAATTTGAATTCAGAAGTTGATGTATGGATATCATTTTGTTACATTATGTGAATGTTTACATTTAAAAAATGCACCAAAACCCAACTTTTACAGTGGGGTTTAAGAATTCCAGGTACACAGAGAGATCTATCAGGAAATCTAACGTTATAGTAACATAGTCAGAGGGGAAATGTATGTTACCATCTAGGCAAGTGCTGGGAGGGTATTGATTATTCCGTACCTTTTGAGCACAGATGCTAGTAAACTGGAAACTTAGTAAATATCTGAATAATAAAATGTAACTACTTTTAAATTGGAAACATTTCCAACTAATAAAATGTAGCTATTTAAAAATTTATAACATAGGTAATTTTGAATTTTTCAGAAATTGTAATATTTTTTGAAAGAAGATAAGAATTTAGCCGAAACCGGTTTGGCTCAGTGGTAGAGCGTTGGTCCGCGGACTGAGGAGTCCCAGGTTCAATTCCGGTCAAGGGCATGTACATTGGTTGCGGGCACCTCCCTGGTAGGGGGTGTGCAAGAGGCAGCTGGTCGATGTTTCTCTCATCGATGTTTCTAACTCTCTCTCCCTCTCCCTTCTTCTCTGTAAAAAATCAATAAAATATATTTAAAAAAAAAAAAGAAGATAAGAATTTATAGCTTTTTAAAATACCACTTTGCTACTTTAGTAACTTCTGCTATAGCTTTGTTCTGTTTCCATGTGCATGCCTAATGTTTCTGAACTAGACAAAAGAAAGTTAACAATATTCAGCCGATTTTTTTTTAAGTATACTTGTATTTTATTTTATTTTATTTTTATTGTTGGCACTATTATTATGGAGACTTTATTTTTAGTTTTTGTTTTGTTTTTGAAAATATATTTTTATTGATTTCAGAGAGGGAGAGATAGAAACATCAATGATGAGAGAGAAGCATGGATCAGCTGCCTCCTGCACAACCCCTGCTGGGGATCGAGCCTGCGACCCGGGCCGGTGCCCTTGACTGGAATTGAACCTGGACCCTTCAGTATGCAGGCTGATGCTCTGTCCACTGAACCAAACCAGCTAGGGCTTATTTTTAGTTATTTTTTAATCCTCACCCAAGGATAATTTTCCATTGATTTTTAGAGAGAGTGGGAGAGGGAAAGACAGAAATATTGATGTGAGAGACCACATCGATTGGTTGCTTCCTGCATGAGCCCCAATCAGGGCCCTGTGGGGGAGGAGCCAACAACCGAGATACGCGCTCTTGACTGGAATTGAACCAGGGACCCTTTGGTCCACAGACCAACACTCCATCTACTGAGCCAAACCAGCTAGGGCCCGATTTTGTTTTTAACACAAAGAAACATGTACATTTTTTCTTTTAGTCGACCGACAACTCAAGTCACTGTCCTCAGTCCTGTCCCAGTACCGGGGCTTTGATGGAGAAGATGGTGGCAGTAAAAACTGCTTCGGGCGAAGTGGCGCTCTCCTCTACGTCCGGGTAAGCTCCAGCTGCAGAGCATGCCCTGCCCCAAGTCCAGACCTTCAGGCTCCTCAGGTGCCGAGCTGTGGTCCACAGCGGCCCATGGCCTGAACCACAGCCATCTCCCACAGAGCAAACCCAGCCTGAGCTTTGTACCAATTTTTATACCATGTGTGTATGACCTGTTCAAAAAGTCACAAAAAGCGTCTTGGCAGGATCACTAAGTGGTTAGAGTGTTGGCCTACGGACTGAAGGGTTGCGGGTTTGATTGCTGGTCAAGGGGCCGTGATCGTATAGTGGTTAGTACTCTGCGTTGTGATTGCTGGTTAAGGGCATGTACCTTGATTGCAGGTTCAGTCCCCGGCCCCAGTTGGGGCTCCAGCAGGAGGCTACCAATCTGTGTGTCTATGTGTCTTTCTCACATCAATATTTCTTTGTCTCTGTCTCTTTTTCTCTCTCTCTGCCCTAACCCCCCCTCTCCCTCTACCCCCTGTTCCTTCCACTCTCTAAAAATCAATGGAAAAAATATCCTCATTCCTCTGGTGAGAATTTTTTTTTAAGTCTCAAAATAATTACATTTTACAAAAAGGAAACCCACAGGGTCCCTGTCTGTCTCACCTTGGCCCAGGAGCCCCCTGTCCCCACCCTCTCGGGCCCTCTGAGCACTACTGTTCTCACGTTAGCTCGGCGTTCCTGTCTCTTCCGCTCACCTCCTGGGTAGAAAGACTGTTTGAAAAGCTGTGTGCACGGTTCTCTGGGGAGTCCCCAGCCCCGTGAAATCCTTGGAGGGCTGGGACCTTCCTCCTGGAACTCAGTGGCTCTGGCTCCTGCCCTGCACCCCCTCCCAAACAGGAAACACCTGGTCTGGCCATTGTCTTCCTGCTCCTGGACAAATGCTGAGTTATTTTTCAGGTCCCCATGGGCACTTTGGTGAAGGAGGGGAACGAAGTTGTGGCTGACCTCTCACGCCCCGGGGATGAGTATGTGGCTGCTCTGGGCGGGGCAGGAGGAAAGGGCAACCGCTTTTTCCTGGCCAATGATAACCGCGCGCCCGTCACCTGCACCTCCGGGGAGCCTGGGCAGGAGCGGGAACTCTTCCTGGAGCTCAAGACCATGGCCCACGCTGGCATGGTGGGTACCACTGGGAGCCCCAGTGGGAGGAGGGGGTGCTTTGCACACTGAGCTGTGGAAAGCGGTTTCTAGTGGGTGGGGCATGTAGGGGAGAACAACTCACCCCAGTTGACATCCTGTGACCTTGAACGTGGCTGGGCCCTGACCTGTGTGGTTCCCAGTTCTGAGAGTCACCGATTTCTGCCTGTCCCAGCGGAGGGAATGGTAGCACATCCCCCTGTCTTGCAGGTCGGATTCCCCAACGCAGGCAAGTCCTCGCTTCTCCGGGCCATTTCAAACGCGAAGCCCGCCGTGGCTGCCTACCCGTTCACGACCTTGAACCCTCACGTGGGCATTGTGCACTATGAGGACCACCAGCAAGTAGCAGGTAGACCTCCCAAAGGTGGGGTTGTGAGGTGGGTCATTCGGAACCGTTAGCAAGCAGCTTTCTGCCTAGAAAGCAGCATCTTTCCTAAGTTAGCAGTTGTGATTCTCTGGCCACAGTTAGGGTTTACACTTTCTTCCCGCCCCATCTGACGCCTGGGGTGCAGCCAGAATTAGAACGTAAATTTCTGACCTGGAAAGGCTGTTCCTTCCTGCTGCCTCCACTCCCCTTCCTTTTGGGAACTCAGCATGCCAGTCCTGGCGCCCACTGTGATTTTAAAGCTTTCCTGGTACCATTCTGAGATAGGGAAACTTTCCCCAGAAGATAACGAATCCGTTAGAAACAGCAAGCCCGCTGTAGGTAGCTGTTTCTATGGCACTTTCCGTTCGCCAGGAACTCTGCGATAATCAGATCTATCAGTAATCCAGTTAGTAATGGGTTACAGAAAGCTAGGTCCTCCTCTTAAAATCATTTTGAGGCCAGAAAGATTGGAATGTGTAATTCAGGTGAATAAATATTCCTTATTAGATGGATCTGTCACTGTGCCTGTCACCCAAATATTTCCAAGCATCTTGTGAAATGTCTTCATGGCAGTTGGCCTGATGAGTCACCGAGACAATAACTGGATTGACTTGGGGTTTAGGTGTTCCTTGAAAGGGAAGTCTCAGACCTCGGGGAACGGGCCGGAGGCGGCCCGGCCCTGCTCTGTCTCCGCAGTGGCGGACGTGCCGGGCATCATCCGAGGCGCACACCAGAACCGCGGCCTGGGGCTGGCCTTCCTCAGACACATCGAGCGCTGCCGCTTCCTCCTGTTCGTGGTGGACCTGGCGGTGCCGGAGCCCTGGACCCAAATCGAGGACCTGAAGTATGAGCTGGAGAAGTACGAGCGAGGCCTGTCTGAGCGGCCCCACGCCGTCGTCGCCAATAAGATTGACCTTCCTCAGGCGCGAGCCAACCTGCCCACGCTGCAGGCCCGCCTGGGCGGGAAGGCCATCGGCCTGTCGGCGCTCACGGGGGAGAACCTGGAGGAGCTGCTGCTGCGCATCAAGGAGCTGCATGACGAGCACGTGGCCGCCAGCCGGGCGCAGGGCCACCAGCTGTTCCGGTGGTAGCGTGTGGCTCTTCGCGGTGGGAGCTGCAGGTGCACCTTCCCACTCAGCTTGGGAAGGCCCTGGCGGCCTGCTCCCGGTGCTTCCCGCGCCCTCGGCCTGTTCTCTGGCCCCTGAGATGGGCTTGTCCCCAAAGTACCCCTGAGTAGTAGGAGCCACGCTGCCCTGTGTGCAGGGAGCCAGCACAGCCAGATCCGAGCCTGAGGCACTGGTCTGGCTCCTAAGCGCCAGCCCACACATGAGCGACTGTCACGCTGGACCTGAGAGACCTTGGCTGTCCCCACACCCTGCAGAGCGACCGGGGACAGGCGCGTGCTGTGTCGGATGCCGCCATCTGAGCAATGAGGTGCCTCCCCTGTTGTCCTCAGACTGCGCCGAGCTCTGAGAACTGAACATAGCATTGGCTTCACGACTGAATGCACCCAATATCCGGCCAGAGACGCAGCTTCTGACGCTCATCTGTGTAGAGAGTTATTAGCTGATGGTGGCCGGGCTCTGAGAGGACATGGGCCGGCCGCGCTGTCCCTGCAGGGATCAGAGACTCCTGGGCCTGCACCAACAACCTATTGTCAGCGCATAGAACCCCAGGGCTGGCCAGCTAGTCCATGGAGATTCTGTGTGCTGAGTGGTGGCAGCTAAGAGGCTGGTGCTCCATAAGCCACCCGCCTACAGGCTGCAGAGGTCGGTGAGGGCGGCGCTGCTGCCCACTTGCTCATCTACCAGAGCACACTGCAGCCACTGTTTCCCCAAATAAAACCTAACGCTCTGACTTATCCCTGAGGGCCCTCCGGAGAGGGAGCGGAGGGGACTGGAGGAGTCAGGAGAAGGAGCGAGTGGCAGTCAGACACTGAATGGGTGTTCAGGAGTTCACGTGCCGGAGAGCATGCGCCCTGTCCGCTCCCTGTCTGCATGCCCGGGCCCTGCATTCTAGAACCAGCGGTGGTGTTGGCGTCTGGTGGCTCGCTCAGGCCCACAGGCTTTCCCAGGACACGATGTACCTTTCCTCTGGGAGCACGCCGAAGGCAGGGTCTCGTCCTGCTCAGCTGTGTCCCCGCAGCTTCGGGACCCAAGGACCATGCACGGAGACGGCACGACAGACGTTTGGGGAGTGAAGGTGTGAGTGATGGCTGTGTTAGCTGTGTCCAGGCTTCCTTTACTTTGAAGACACTTGTAAAAGGCAGGTGGTGGGTGCTGAGTGGCTCACATCCTGTGCCACTGCCACTTCTGCCCCGCCATCCCTCCGGCCGTTTCTGTGAGTCATCTGTCCTGAGGCTGTTCAGCGGGGCACCCCATCCACATCTCATCCATAGACAAGGACGTGCCCTGCCCCTCGCCCGGTGACGTCTGCGTGTGAGGCTGGCTGTGTGCACAGTGGGCAAGGCGCAGGCTGGCCCAGGGGCTGCCCCGCGTTTGCTGCCTCGTTTCCTCTGCCTTGGGGTGCTGTATCTGTCCTTGGTGGCCGTCGCCTGGTTGCCTCTCTGGAAGCAGGTCTGAGGATGGGGATCTGAGCTTCAGGATGCAGGGTTTCCTAAATTCCCCAGTTTCCAGCCCTAATTCCCAGAGTGTCTAGCTGCAGGGCTCCCCCGGGGGCAGCAGCTGCGTGGCCCTGTCCCCACTCCCCATGAGGCCCCCCTGCCCGTCTCTGGAAAGCTCTCTCATTTCTCCCTTGCGTTCTGAGGAGGCTCATACCTTCCTCATGCCTCTCCTGTTGTGGTGGGGCCTCAGCAGGAGCCGTGGCCACACGGGTGTCGCCTGGGTCTGGGAAAACCAGGGGAGAGCAGCATGCTCGCTCGGAACTAGAAATCTGTCTCAGGCCGAAACTGGGTTGGCTCAGTGGATAGAGCGTCGGCCTGCGGACTGAAGGGTCCTGGGTTCGATTCTGGTCAAGAGCATGTAACTTGGTTGCGGGTACATCCCCCATGGGGGTGTGCAAGAGGCGGCTGGTCGATAATTCTCTCACATTGATGTTTCTAACTCTCTATTCCTCCCCCCTCCTCTCTGTAAAAAATAAATAAAATATATTAGAAAAAAAGCTGTCTCAGCTTCAGCAGATACAAGCAGGGCCAGTGGCACGCTCTGCCCTTCCCATTTTGCTGGGCGCCTGCCCTGCGCTGACATTCAGGGTGCGAAAGCCACTGCCGTCCCCACTGAGGTGGGCCTTGCCGCCCCCTTGCCTGGCCATGAGGTGAGGACAGCTTGTTGACACCGTTCAAAGGAAGCCCAAGGACCCTGCGGGTCACCAGGGATAGGCCGAGAGGAGCACTGCCTAGCCGCCTGGCCTCTTGGGAAGTTGAGGGACCAGCTGGGCGGGAAGAGGGTAGAAGGCAGAGGGCTGCCCTCGCTCCTGCAGCTCAGCTCTGAGCTAGGTTTGCTGGAATTGCATTTAAAGATCATCATCTTGGTCCTGTTTAAATCTGGGAACTAAAGTTTGGAGTGACTTTGGGGGTCACGATGCATTTTTTAGTCCATTGCAGTTCCCAGTGTCACCCCTCCATCCTCTCATCCAAAGCCACCATTCTACCTTCTCTCCTTTCCCTTTTGAATGACATTTTTGTGTCTCAGAGATTTGTCTGACAAACTTCCCACTGGGGTACTAGCTCTGGACACAATGCCCATGTCCCTGGGGCAGTGTCCTCCCGTGAGCCCCACAGTCCGGTCCCAGACACTTTGCTCCCCATTGAGGGAGGGGCACAGAGATGGTCCATGCGAGGACACAGTGCGTGGGGACCACCTCATGGTGCCCAAGGGAGGACCCAGTGGAGTGGGCGGGTGGAGTTCCCCGACTGCTGGGTATGGGTACATCATCCTGTCTCTGAAGCCCAGTTTTGGTGTCTATGTAAGTGAATGGGGTGGCTACAGGGATGGGGTGCTCCAGTAAATGATGGAAAGATTTCTTGTACCCCCAAGCCCAGGCGTGAGGGTCCAGCTGGGATCGGGGATGCAGGAAGGTAATGGTCAGTCACATGGGTCCCCCCACAGCTCAGGCTCCAAAGTACCTGCTCCCTCATCATGGCCCTGACTCCCCAAAGGAAGTGTTGGTTAACTGTGCCTTTTTTGAAAGATCAGGGGTTGCCTGCTGGGCACCCTGAGAGCTAGGGCCTTTAGTCCAGGCTAGAAAGGACCCTGGCCCACACGAACTGCTCTGGGCACCTCCAGAGCCAGCACCAGGGCACCTGCAGCCAGTGCCAGCCCAAGAGGCCCAGGCAGGAGGATGCTACAGGCTGTCTGGTCCCGGGCTGATCCTCAGCCCCTCCAGCCTGGCCACAGCCCCTCCTGCATCTGGAGAATTGGCAGGGGCCCTGCTGGGAGCCAGGCCACCCACTTCTCTCCAGGCACTGCTGAGCTCCCCACCCTGAGCCTCTGGAGCCCAGGGAACACGGGAGGAAGGAGATGTCAGCTCCTCCGAGAGGCTACCTGGGGTTGTGAACTGGACCACCCTTCTCTGGGGCCTCTGCCCTGTTCACAGCCCTGCAGCTCCCAACCGCATGGACGTGGCCCCACTTATCTGCCAGATGTTTGTTTATGCGTCTCCTAGCAGCCAGTCTGGCACACAGTAGGTGCTCAGCAGGAGTGGGCGGTGGGAGAAGGGCTTTGTCGCTGGCCCGGTGTGGGATTCAGGAGAAAGGCCCCCTGGCTGTTTGTTTGCTGCTGGGCCAGGCCCAATGGGCTTGGCGACTTTCTTCTCTCCTCCCCCAGCCCCTTGCGGAGCAGCACTTTCCAGAGATTGAAGGCAAAATTGCTTGAAAGCCTGTGCTTTTATCCTCCAATTTGTAGCCATTTAGCAGGGCTGGGCGGAGGGGCAGTGAGGGCTCTGGCTGTGCTGTCTGCAGGAAGGTGCCCGCCGCTGCTGCTGCAGAGAACGGAGAACGAGTCCTTTGTCCTCGCTTGGACGGCCCTGGGCTGAGGGATAGGCGCCTGCGGGGGCTCAGGCTGGGGCCTGTGGGGCCTGCGGGATGGCCAGTGGCCAGTGTGCAGGCAGCATCAGCCTCCAGAGCTACCTGCCGGGCTTCCCTGAGCTCTGGCCCCCACACGGTGGTGCCCACTGTCCCTGCACCACCTTCCCCTGCAGCCGCTCCAGCCTCTGCTCATGCAGCACCCAGCTTCCAGGGAGCCGCTTTCTCTGGTCATTAGGGAGGGGCCTGCCTAGACCAGAGGGTCCCCATGGTGCAGGGGAGTGTGAGGGTGGGTGCCAGCTGGAGGAGTCTCCCGGGCTTCTGGGAAATGAAGGGCAGTCACCTGGGGTGGCACGGAGTCTGCCGGAGGGCTGTCATCTTCATGTCTCCAGGCGGCTCTCTGACCTGCCTGTGCTGTCACTGTCTGCGTGGGGAGCGAAGTGTAGGCAGGGCCTGCACCGTGGGGACAGAGGAGGGGCAGGGGCAGCGAGGACCCTGTGGCTTCCCACCCGAGTCTGCATCTCCTGCGTTGGGCTGCCCTTGCCCCTTTTCTGGGCTAAAGGCGAGGTCTGCCGCCACTAGAGCCCAGGAATCATGCAGGTCCTTCTCTATTGTCACTCCTGTCCTGCCTCCAGGCCTTTGGGCAGGACTGCTCCTCGCCCAGAGATGCCTCCCTTCTCTCTATCCTCCCCCCTCCCTGCCCCTCCCTCAGCTCCAGCCCCAGGAGCAGGGAAGCTTCCCAGGTGGAAGTCATGGCCAAGAAAGATGAGAAGCTCATCCTGGGGGCAGGCAGGCTGGCGGGTGGGGCTTGGGAAATGAGTCCCCTGGGCAGGTGACAGTCCAGCAGGGGTGCACTGCTGGGCACCTGCCCCTTACTAAGATTAAGCCCTGTTGTGCCAGCCAGGCTGCTTTCTCCCCACTGCAGTCCCCCACTTAGAACACTGAAGCCAGGGAAGGGGCAGGCCTGGGTCTCACACCCAGAGTGACCTGGAGTCTCCCTAGCACCCCACTTCAGCCCACCCCCCACAAAGTCCTCAGGAATCAGCACCCATAAAAAAATACACTTTACTGTGGACCTCAGAGTCTACAGGGCCGCTGGACGGTCCGGGGGCGCGGAGCATGCAGGATGCCACAGGGTGCACGGAATGTGGTGAAGGGACCCTCCACTAGACACGGGCCTGGTCCCTCTGACTGCCCTGCAGGCCTCAGGACCCTCGGGGCAGAGCTGGCCCTTGGACGCGTCAGCCCTGGAAACACTGGTTGAGCAGAGGAAGTGGGTGGCAGCCTGCTGACAGCAGGTGTCCGGGCTCTGGCCACTCTCAGAGCCACCAGTCAGGTCCAGCACCCAAGTCGGGGGCAGGGTGGGCAGAAGCAGCTGGTGTAGCTCAGCCGGAAACAGCAGCACGAGGAGAGGGCGTGGGAGCCCACACCTGCCAATCCTGCCCTGAGCTCCTCTGCAATCTTGTCTCTCTTGATTAAACATCCAAGGAACATCGAGTTCACAGATGTGTGTTCTTCTTCTTTGTCTTCCTGAAACACCCAGAATGGAAAAGCAGAGAACAGCAGCAAGCTGTTGGTACTTTGGGGACAGACAGAGTTGGAGGAAAGAAGGCTGCAGGAGTCGGGCCGGGCATAAGAAGTGGCAGGTGGCCGCAGGGCCAGTGGCCCGTGCTTGTCTGGAGCAGGGGAAGGTGTGCAGGTGTGCGCACATGCAGAGCAGACTGCAGGCAGGAAGCATGGAGCACACGCCACGCACTTGCTTTGGGAAGAACACCACGCAGTAACGGTTGCCACGCTGTCTGGGGAGGTGGGCATTGTGGCTGAGACCCCTAGATTGTCTCTCCTGGGGAAGTTAGGATTTGGGCTAGCCACTCACACTCTAGTTCAGACAGCAGGGTCCTCAGCCAGCCCACCAAGCTGCCCCTATGCAGGCAGGTGGTCTAAGAGAGGCCACACGGAAAAAGTGCGGGCCGAAGAGGAGGCGGCAGTGGCCCAGAAACCAGGGTGTGGGCAGAGGGGCCCTGGAGGGCCAGCTCACTTCCAGCAGTGCTCCAGAGAGCTGTGAGGCTGGACCTTGAGCTTGTGGGGGCACAGCAGCTTGGTGAAGGCCCGGCGAAAGCTGTAATGGCACAGCGGGTAGAGGACTGGGTTGACTGCCGAGTTGGCCCACAGTAGCCAGAAGGACGTCTCATACCAGTAGTCGGGGACGCAGTGGCCGTGGCAGGCAGCCCGGATGATCATGAGGAGGGTGTACGGGGCCCAGCAGAGTCCAAAGATGCTCACGATGATGGCCAGCGACTTGGCCACCTTCTTGTCCCGGGACAGCCGGAAGCGCTGGGTGAAGCCCTGGGACACCATCTTCATGCGCTTCTCCAGCGACGCGGAGGACGCCGATGGCTTGGAGCCCCTCTTGAGCGAGCGAGGCCGCTCTGTGCCCCGCGAGGAGCTGCCTGAGCTGGAGGTGGGCGAGTCTGCGGTGCCCCCACCACTGCCCCCCAGGGCTGCCTCCCCTGCCTCAGTGCCAGGGGCCGCCTCGCCCATCCTGGGGCCATACCTGTGCAGTGGCATGGCCTCCCTGTGCCCCTTCTGCCAGCAGCCCCAGCAGCCAGGTGCGGCTGGTGGGGAGGGCTGGGCCTCCGGTGGGGGCTCCAGGCCAGTGGCCTCTCGGACCCCGTCCAGCCGGTCACGGGTGCGCTTCTGGATGTTCAGGTAGATGCTGAGGTTGAAGAAGGTGACGCTGAGGAAGGGCGTGAAGAACTCGAGCGTGGAGGCCGTGATGAGGAAGTACCAGTTGTAGAAGAACTCTGCATAGCAGTGGCCCTCGGGGATGGAGCTACTGCCCGACAGGTGCTCCCAGCTCAGGATGGCCGGCCCGTACAGCAGGAAGGCCAGCACCCACACCAGCGCCATCTTCCACACCGCCTGCCGCGTGTTGCCCTGCTGGGCCCGGTAAGAGACCTGTGGGGGACATCCTGGTCAGGCATCTTTGGATATCATCTCAGTCTTTAAACTCCCCGTTGCTCTCCCACTTCCTCTCTGGATGGCTCAGGAGGGAGGGGCAGACCAGGTGGATGGGCTAAGGGGGAAAACTGCAGTTCAACCCAGGCCTACGGACCTCAAACCCGTGCTCTTTGCACTCTGTCCCATGCCCTTCTAGATAGGACACATGTGGCTCCTGAGCAGAGAGCCCCTGGGGTGCCCAATAAAGCCACCAAGGAGAAGACATATGGGCAAGGAGACTCCAGCTCCAGTGCGCCAGCCTTGTGCCCATGTGGTACTGTCATGGGAGCCCAGGTGGTCCAAGGCCCCAGCTAATGGTGGCCACTCACACCAAGGGGAACTGGTGGAGCCAGGAGCTGATGCCTGTCTTCTTGGGATGCAGAGACACACAAACACACACAGAACACACAGAGACATACACAGACACACACATGAGGAAGGGGGGTGCCACCAAAGGCCTCTGGCTCAGATCCTCCCTCAGCTCCAAAGACTTTGCACCCGCCCCAGAAAGGAGGCTGAAGTGACCCCCTTCCTTCAGGAACATCTGATGCCGGAGCCAGGTGGTGCCTCCTGCCAGCAAATGGCTACCAAATGGGCAGCTGGCTGTATAGAGTGCCTGGCATGCCAGGTGTGAGGCAAGTGGGACCAAACTCACCTGGCACTGCCTGCATCCCCTGCCGGTGCCTTCTGGGCCACTCCTGACCACTCCCCCCAAGAGAGCATGGGCACCTGCCTCCCAGACTCACAGCGCGGGTGACCGACAGGAACCGGTCATAGCTGATGAGCACGATGTTGAAGACGGAGGACGCGCAGAGTAGGTAGTCCACCACCAGCCACAGCTTGCAGAGGCCCCTGCCAAAGGGCCAGCGGCCAGTCAGCACATAGGGCACATACAGCGGGATGCAGAAGGCTCCTGTGGGAAAGCAGGGCCGGGGGTCAGAGCCAGACCAGGGTCTGTGGTCAGACCCTCCACAATGCAGACAAGCAGCACCTGTCAGTCGCCACCCTTCTTGGCAGCAACCTCACCTTACCCACCCCCTCCTGTCCCCTAGACACACCCTCTGACCTGGAACTGGCCTTCCATCCTGTCCAGCCCTCCCAGCCCCAAAGAGAGGAAGAGGGATAATCTCCCCCTCTCGCCCCCTGGACCCCAGCCCCTATCCTGGCTTTGGACGGCCTTTCCTCTTCAGTTCAGAAACCAAGAAAGCCTTCTTCCCGATTCAGAGGGCACTCCGCCACTGCCACGCCACCGCTCCCGCCGCCCAGCCCCTCTCCCAGCGCCTGGCAGACGCACGCGCAGCCCCAACAGGTGTCTGGCGCTCCAGCCCCCTCCGCGCCGGCTGCAGCCGCAGCAGCTCCCGGACACGTGAGAGCGCTCCCCGCCCCCTTCCCCATGCCCCCTCCCACCACACGGCTCTAACCCCCATCCCGTGCCCCTCCCCCAAACCTTCCCCGGCGCGCCACAGTCCTAAGTTCCCCACAGCCTTTGTTTGCAGGAGCCGGCGCTGTGCCCGCGGCCGCTGCGCCTGGCGCCTCGAGCGCCCGCATGCCCGGCCCCTTCCCCAGACCCTCACCCCCGCCCCGCAGCGGGCGGCGAGGCCAGGAACTTCGCCGCGCCCATCACTCTTCGCCCCGCGAGTCCCGAGCGTCCCCTCCCCGGGCCGGCCCGCCCGCCCCGCCCCCACCAGGGCGTATGCCAGTACGAAAGGCGCCCAAGTCCGGCGCTCCGATCCCCGCCGCACCAGGGCTCGGGCGGGGGGGCTTTACCCACGAGAAAGTCGGAGATGGCGAGGTTGAGCAGAAAGAAGTTGTTCTGGGTGCGGAGGCTCGAGTCGGCCACGAAGGCGAGCATGACCAGCGCGTTGCCCAGCACCGTGGCCACGATGAGCAGCGCCATGAGCGCGGCCAGCACCGCGGTCCAGGCGGCGGAGAAGCCGCGCGCCCCGCCCGCCGCCGCCGCCGCCGCCGCCTCTCCAGCCAGAGCCCCCGACGCGTTCAGAGGCCCGTCGGGCGGCGGGCGCTCCATGGCCCTGTGGCTCACGCAGCGCCGGTGCTCGGGGCAGGGCGCGGACCGCCGGCGGGGCGGCCGGGAGGGGCCCGGGCCCGGGAGCCTGGGGTGTGAGGGCTTTCAACCCAGCCGGGGTCCCCGGGGGATGCCCGGCGCATGGTCCGCGGGCACAGAGGCCGGGCGGGCAGCGCCGAGGAGGTCCAGGCTGTACTCCAACCCGAACCGGGCCGGTGGCCCAACCGCAGCGGCCCGAGCGGAGCCGGAGCCCGAACCGCTGCCGGAGCGTCTGTGCGCCCCAAGTGCAGCGCGCCGCCAAGTGCGCCCCGTGCCCAGCCACCGCCCCCCGCGCCCGGCGCCTGGCTCCGCGCCCGCCCCATTGGCTGCAGCCCGCGCCCCGCCCCGCCCTCGCCCCGCCCGGCGCCGGCAGCACCACGGACAGCGCCGCGTGCCCGCCAGCCGCCGGCTGGGAGCCGGGCCAGGGCGCGAGAAGGGCCCAGCCTGGTGCGCACCGCCCTGCTGCTCTGGAGCCCGGCTCTGGGCCGCTCGGCCTGCCCCGTGCCCTCCCACCCGGCCTCATCGGGAGTCCGGAGCTGGATGCCTGAGGGGCCCTGGAGTAGGAGTAGGAGAAACCCCTGCACCCTCGCGACCCCTCCTCCTTCATCCTTGGTGCCAGCGAGTCTGAGGGGAGGAACGTCTTAAAAAAAAATTTTAAAAAAGGAGGGATCTCTGAGAGCTTGTGCTCTGATCAGGGTCAGCCCCCACCCCTCCATCTGCGTGGCACTCTGGGTCTCAGTCTTTCCGTGGTTAGGGCCCAGCGAGGCGGGCAGGGTGACCTACAAGGCTCAGGCAGATGGGGAGTTACATAAGGAGAGATGGGGAGCCAGTGGGCCCTGCCAGGAAGGGAGCTTGCCCACCAGGCGCTCAGGAGGGGCCCCAGGTTGAGGGGAGAGTGTCCCGCAGCTTGGAGCCCACGGCCCCCCTGGCGGACAGCATCGTGAGGTGGCAGCACTGCATGGACAGAAGAGGTCACTGTGCTCGCTGGCACAATAAGGCACCAGTAACTGCAACTGCGTTAGTTCCTGCGGGAAGGGGTGGGGGAGGAGAGGCAAGGGAGGGAATGCCCCTCCCTCCAGGGATGTTCAGATAGACAGGGTCAAGGACAGATTCAGCTGGAGACGCTCACAGACAGACAGACATGCCCACACGCAGATGCACAGACACCCACACACCGGGGAAAATCACCCAGCATCAGTCTGGGGACTCAGAACGGCAGCTAGACAGACACTCACACGTCTGACAGTGACAGCAAGGGGAACAGTGCCTGAGGGGGGAAGCAGGGCTCCTCCTGCAGCCACACCTCTGCGGGCCTGGAGAGGACGGAAACGCAGTGGGTGGGGGCTGGGAGACGGGCAGAGGCTGCAGGCCGGACCCCAGGCGCAGGCACTCCTATCCTTACAGCAGTTTCCGGATCCTTCGGGGACTACCCCTCCCACTAGCCCCACAGGAACTTCAGAAACTTTGAGGAGTGGGGGCAGGGCTCCCTCTGCCCTCTCTCAGATCCGGCGTTGGAAGGGGACCTGCACTCTCGCTGCAGCAGACCCATTATTCCACAGCTTCTTGCAGCCTGTACTGGGCATGTGGGGCTCCAGCTCAGGCTCCCAGAAGCCTCACTGAGTACCTGGCCATGCCCCTCCTTCCCACCAGCAGAGCCTGCTTCTCTTCCCAGCGCCCCCAGCTCTCCCTCACGGCACCCAAGGTGACTGGTGGACAGCTCTGTGGCAGGACCAGGCACTAATTAGTGGTGACACAAGCAAGGTGACATTGACAAGTTCCTGGAGTGGTCAGTGAGGTGAGGGCTGCTGGACCCATCGTGTCATCACCAAAGCCTTCCTGTGCCTTTGTGCTGGGCCAGGGCTCACTGTCCATGCTCCCGTGGGATGGACTCCACCAGGCCCTGCTCCTCCCCAGCCCTCCCGGGGCTGGCTCTGGCTAGAGAAGCTGATGCCCCCACCCCTGCCTCAGCCTTGGGAGTTGAAGTCGAATGGGGTTTCAGAGGGGGTTCTGGCTCTCCCACTCACTGGCTGGGACCCTCCTCCCCAGGCTCCGTGGAGGAGTATGTGTTGCTTACCATCCAGGATGGAGGGCCCATAAAGGGGGCATCTGTGTAGTTGTTGGCTCCTTCAAAGCCTCAGTGACCCTGTGGCTACCAGTATTCTAGAGATTTCCCTGGTGGACTCACCCCACAGCAGCTGTGGTGGGGGATGGGCTCAGTCAGACTCAGGGGTGGTCTTCCTCTGAGAGGAAGGGCCAGGGCTGGGCCAGTGGTTTGAGAATGGCAGTGGCCCACGTGGAGAGCACCATCATTACATGTATGATCTTATTAGCCCCCTATTTACCCTATGAGGTTGGTAGGACCAGTGTGCCCTGTACAGAGCTGGACACCACTGCCCAAGGTCACACAAGGCCAGGCACCCCTCTCTTAATGGCCACCCTCCTGGCCAATTCCTGAGGTCAAGGCTCCTGAGGCCAGCAAATGCACCAACCATTGGGACATAGGATGCCCAAGGAGTGGGCATCCAGGCCCCAGATGGTGGGGAACCCTGGGAAAGGCTGGTTGAGGGCTGGGCTAGAGGACAGACCCCAACTTTCCACTCACTCAGACCCCCAAACAGAGGGGTTCTGGTTTCTCCGTTGTTGAAACAGTTGACATTTGGGGTGAAATATGTTCAGTCCAACAAGGAGGCCATGGGGGAAATGCCCCATTCACACCAACCCTAGGCAACTAGCAAAACCAGCGCCTGCAACTTCTCATGCAAGAGAAAGCACACCCGCTGACTGAGTGACCATCCACCCATCCACCCATCCATCCACCCATCCACCCATCCATCCATCCATCCACCCATCCATCCACCCATCCATCCATCCATCCACCCATCCATCCATCCATCCACCCACCCACCCAGAGCTCTTACTGCTAGCCCTCAGCACCTGGCTGTGCTGTGACAGAGGGTACGAAGTCATAAGTAGTGTGTGTGCAGCGCTAGCTGTGGGCTGGGAGGAAGGAAGCAGGGCCGGGGATGGAGAGCACAGCACAGACTCCCCTTCAAGAGACAGCCTGCCATGGGGGGTGAGGTAAGCTGGCAGCCCCTGGTGGCAGTCTGGCCTTTGGGGTCTGCTGCTGAGCTGGAGCTGAGCAAAGGAACACATCTTCCCAGTGGGTGGGACTTGAAGCTCCTGGTCATGCACCTTGTGTGGGCGGAAAAGTGGCTCAGGTGAGAATACCCATGCGTTCAGAGGCAGTGCTCAGAGGCCTGGAGGGCTGGTCAGGGCGTGGAGGGACAAGGACCTGGTGGAGACAAAGGGTTTGGGGCTGGAGCCATGTGGGTGGACATGTGATTGTGGGCCCCAGCATGAAGGCCCTCATATCAAATGCAAACACCCACCAGAAAGCTTCCATCTGGTAGAGGCGGTGTAGCAGGCCCCTGGCACCGGCCACCCGGAACTGGCATGAGGTGGTCACGCTGGAGGCCCTGCTGGGGTGAGGAGTGTAGACTCCCACCTCCCCAGGTTGACCTGGCTACTGCCCCCTCTGAATGTCCACCCCACCAACCACAGCCAGGCCGAGCCCCCACGGTGGCATGTTTTCCAGGAGAAGAAACTGCCACCTGGTGGCGAGTTGACCACATTGAGCCCTTCCTCACATACCTGCTCAGGTGCCCATGAGGCTGCACCAGCGTCCAGGTGTGGAACCCCCGACCTGGGACCACTTCCCAGACAGGGATGCACTGGTTGCACTGCCTGACACACGTCCTGGAGCCACATGCTTCACAGGTCACGGCACAGGGGGCCGCCACCCGCTGATGCAGTCTAACAGGAAGTAAAGCATCTCCTCTCCAACAAGGAGGGCTAAGCACCTGGGGCCGGGGTGACCCACTGGGGAAATTGTGCCTCCACCCTCTGGGCTCTGCAGGGTTAGAGGTCCCCTCCCCAAGGGGTGCACGCTGGCCTGGGCACATGGTGTCTTTTGCAGCTGACATATGAGAGGTATGGGAGACAGATCAAGGCTGACTACAGGGTTTTGGCTCAGGCATCTCCGAGGATGGTGTTGACAGGAATGAGCCGGGGAGTCTGTGGGTGGCGCAGGTTGAGGGGTGGTGCAGTGGTCTGATTGAAGCGTGTCCAGCTTGATGCCAGTTGGACATTCTGGTGGGGAAGTTGTTAGCCCCCCGGGTCCAGTCCCGGGCCTGGAATCAGAGCTTGGGCCCGCAGCTCTGGGGCTGGGGGCAGGGGCTCTGCACTGGAGACACAAAGTTGGGGGTCACCAGTGTCAGGCCAGCAAAACACTGTCCCACGGTCCTGTGCTTCTGCACGTCCTGTATGTCCGACGCTGTCACGGGCAGCAGGCTGTGCTCCACGCTCTCACTGCCCTGGAAGCTTTCTCCCCAACCAGCTGCAGGCCACCGCTGCCCCCACAGTGCTCTGCCCTGTGCGTGGGGACATGGCCCACTAATGAGAGGAGCCAGGAGGCCCAGCCAGCTGCCAGGCAATTGTCCTGCCAGCAGGGCCCAGGCACGTTTCCCGGGTCAGCGCTGTGACCGCTCTGAAGGAACCGATGTTTGCTTTCTCCTTCTGTGGCAGCTCATTTAAATATGGAAATGCAGATTTTTCTTTTTTTGTTCCTTGTCTTTTTTTTCCCTTGTGACATTCTGAGCCAGCTATGGGTGCAGCCTGATGAGCTCAGAGTTCGGGTGTGATCAGAATGGCTCCTGATGCCACAGATTTGAAATAAAAGCCAAGTCTGATTTCCCTGCCTTGAGGGTCAGGGCTCAATTGGGCCCAGGCCCCGTTGGCAGGAAGGGGAGAGAGGACAGGAGAACCAGGGACACAGTTGCCATGGTTTGGCCACAATTCAGAGAGGCTTCAGGAAGGGAATGTTTCTTGTTTGCTGTCCACGGCGGGAACATCAGGAAATGGGCTTCAGGCACAGCTGCATCCAGGAGCTCCCACCTGTCTTTCCC